GCATTTTTTTTTCTTCAACTTTTGTTATTCTAATATTGCTGTTTGAGGGGATGGTACAATCTGTTGAGCAATAAATGCTATTATAATTATTATTATTTTCGAATGGGTTACACTCGCTCACCTCCTTTACAAACAAGATTATATTCATATGAAATGTATGTGCATGTTTCTCAACACAACTTGTAGATTTCTCGCTAGCAGTATTTTTTTGAAAGAACTTATGTCCGGTTTTTATTATTCAGGGGTGAATTACATCCCGTCTTCCCCGTTGCAAAGGAAATGTAACATATCTTTTAACACACCCTGTGAATTTCAAGCTGACAGTATTTTTCTGAAAGCAGTCATGCCCGATTTCCATCTTTAAAGGGTGGATTACACTCTCTCATCCTCTATGTAAATCTCTGTAATTTTTCTCAATATCTCTTAACATAATATGTTTATTATGTTAAGAGAAATATTTTTTTCATCGACTCCCCTGGTAACTTGTTCACTGGTATTGGAGTGGCTGCCAAACTCACACTGGTTGTTATACAGAATCATTGCTGATGACTTTACAAAAGTTTATCATGTTTAAAATCGGTCTGGCATTCTGGTGTGAGACCGAGCAAATTCTTCTTCTTTTCCTCAAAGATATCCACACTTATTTCTTGCCCAAAACATTTATCGACCATCTATTTTAGTTATCGACTTCTCTCATCCAATGAGGATTATCTGTTGAGTAGCAGTGCATATTATGTTACCTTTAAATGTGGACTCGTTAGAAAACAAAACATATTTAAAAATATTCGATTCTTCTCTAATTGACTTCGAATTTACAGATGGATCAAACTGCCAAAAACGACTCTTTCAATACGAAGACTTGTCAAATTGTCTTTGGTCTGGATTCCTGGCCATACTGGCTTGACTCTCTTGCAAAGGATGGTGCTGCGTAGAGCTTCATCGGACCAGAACCTGTTATTGGCATCACTTTAGGTTTTGCCAAACATTGAACACCTGGATGGCAAGAAGATTTATGTACTTCTGGCAAAATCATCCAGGATCGGCTCACTCCAAGGCGTTCATTCACCCTTCGGAGCTTGAAACCAAACAGTTGTTGGACTACAGTGGGGATGAACTACGATGTCTAACAGGCCTTCTCACAGGTCACTGTCGTCTGAATCAGCACATGCAGAAACTCGAATTGTCGGAAGACAGTCTGTGTCGCCTGTTTGGGAAATGGTAAAACAGCAGAGCACATACTTTGTGTCTGCCCCGCTGCGGAACGAATCAGATTTTCAAAGTTTGGCAAAGCCGCACTCTTACCATCTGACCTGAAAAATCACTCACCATATAAACTAATCGGCTTCGTTAAGAAGCTGGGTTTATTTGGTCGAGTGTGGATAGGTATGAACCACAATAAACTCTTGAAGGTTACGGTGGAGGGTCGAATAGACCCACTCACTTTTGACCTAACCTAACCTAACCTAATTGAATTTGAAGAATTTTTGCAATACCGAACTTTGGTATCATAATCCATTTCACAAATCTCTTGATGTAATTCAATTCGGTATGGATGAACATTATTTTTGATCAACATTCTGTTCACAGAAGTATGACTTATATCCAATTCTTGTAATTTCCCTTGTACTTATTTGAGGTTTTTCACCGCTAATTCATTTTCTACATTTGTTGCAATTTTTTTTACTACTTGCCTTTTCTTATGTTTGACACAACCTGTTTCCTCAAATCTTCCTTTAACCCTCCAAAAAATCTCTGGTCGTATGGACCTTGACTTAGGATATCAAACAGCACACAAAATGTAGATAATATTTATCATTTCTTCGGTAGACAATTTCATTTCGAGGAGGAAAAATGGTAAATTTCAATTATAAATTCACCTGCTCAATAACTGAATGTCCAGTTTGTTGACATTTCTAATAACATTCAAATGTTCCAAGGGAGATTTGATACAACTGAAATGATCTACATTCTGAGTAGATGTTACAATAGATTCCAGATTTTTCGAAAGACATGTTTCAGGAAACAGGGAGAGTGTAAAGCACAAGGAGTAAACAAAACGTGGAAGAAAGATAATAAAAATTTTCGATGATTGCTTGAACTGTTTAGAATCACAACTGATACTTTTCTGAAGGAGCAGTAATGTCTCCAGACCTAATTTCCTCAGATTTCTATTTTTTTGTTAAAGGATTGGCCTGCGAAAATAGAATGATTCAAAGAAGTTTTCTGCTCAATTACATTAACAATAATTGATGTTCGAAGAAAAATTGTAGATAGATTTAATTAACGACTTTTTCATACTTTCCTCAAGCATTGGATACATTTCCAGTGGAGATAAAGTAGTAAATCTCTACATTTTCTAAAAGCCATAATGTGGACTATTCTGGAATGGCCCAATGGACAGGGTGATCCATTTGAAAACACTGAGAAAAAAGTGATCCCGAGTTTTGTTTACCCATGTATTGAAAAAGCACTCATGACGAAGAAATGAAAAGACGCTATCCTTAAGGAGACTTCGTTGAAAAATTTCCATATTCCATTCGATATAGTAGTAGATATTTGATGTTGAATGAATCCATTTTTTGACATGAATTCCACTATAATTTCAGAATCAACCGGTATAAACCCAAACAACCCTATATTTTTGAGAAGCACTCTGCCCAAAAAATTCAGTTGAGTGAAAATATCTGTAGTATTTTATTTTAAAAACAGTTTTTGACGAAAGCTGACGATTGAAACTTAAACGAACGTTATAGCTTCTCCGAGTCAAAAATTATACTAAGTGAAAAACTCGAAACAGAAAAATGACTTCAAAATATCGGCGCTTTCTCGTCTACCGCGTGCGGTGCATCATAATCTTCACTCGGGAGTACCAAATTCTTTAATCCTCCAGCTATCCAGTGATGTAATCAAAATTTGAATAGATAAGATAGAACTATAGCTACGAAACCAAACTGTCTCCGATTTTGTAATCATTCCAGTTTTTGAATAATTGCCGCCCACTATTCACATATAAAGCGTATTCACGCTAAAACCATGAAAGGCTATTCAACTGCTAACATTTTTTGTTATCTGAAGGAGTATATGGGTCATGCGCCTGCTGTTACCTGAGGTATTAGAGACCAGTTCTGCATATAATAATATACCAGTTTATTTATATTATTTACTAGCCACCATTTTCTTTAAACACAGTACTCATAAGAACAATGACAATATCGTACTTAATCATTAGAGAGTCCAGAATAAATTCTTGATGACTACTGTTTATTGTTCCTATAAAAGTTGTTGGCAAGTCACCATTATTGTCCAGAAATTCTTAATATTATCAATTTTAGTAAGACATATTCCAGAAATTATACATCCAATAGTCCAATGTCACAAATTTTAAAAGTGGCAAATGAGTCAGGCCCAATTTTTTTACCCTATAGATGCATCAAAGTTTAGTTCTTTAACATTTCGATCTAGATGTAAGTTTTTTTTTTGCATATTATAAGGATAATTGTATATTGTTTTTGTATCAAAGGTTTCTTTTCCATTTATACCAATAAATATCTAATCTTATTTGTGCTTTCTGAATCAACTGATTGACTACTTAGAGCAATAAATATCTATCTGTCTGTAAACCCATCTGTCTATTAATCATCTTTCTCGTAACAAACACGTTCTTTAACTTTTAGGTATCCTTAAAAAATAAGTGCCCACTGAACAACTTTTGTTGAATTCAAACAAAAAATAAAGTAAAAGTGTAGGGTATGAACGCTACCATTGATTTACATTGTGACTTTTTTGTGACAAAAGTAAAGAAAGCAACAGTTTGAAGTAAGAATCAACCATAATTTTCATTTCAAAATACAATAAAAAAAATTGAAGTTACTGTTTTTTTTAATTATGTCTAGTTCATTTCTCTCTACGTCAAATCGATTTTTGGCTGATTCATACACAAATTTTCACTTTCACTTCATTAAGAATTAAAAATTATTGAAAGTCTCACAGCAAAGTGATTTTTGAATACGTATGTTATGGATTTTCATCAAGTATCGGCCAATTTCATCATATATATAAAAACTATTGAGTTGTGACATTCATACAATGTTATTAAAAAAAAAAGCGTATGCACTGGATACATAATTTTAGGGTATTACAAATAAACAAAGTTTCCCTCGAAATATTGACTTGGAATAAATAATTAAAGATTTGAAATGGGGAATATCTGGAGGCGACAGAGTTAGTTGAGAAAATATGCAAGGATGACATGCAAAATTGTGAAACGTTCCACATTTTTTAATGATCTTCCGTCCACTTCTCAAATATGCAAAAATAATTTATTCAAGTTCTTGTACACTTGTACACTAAGGAGTATTGCCGAAATCTGTTACCCTCAGAACATACTACACAATCCCTCAAATACACAAAGCGAGTCCTAATTATGTATGAAACTACAAAAGTGAAACCTATAAAGAATAGATTATCAGAATTAGGAAACTGCTTTGCAAAAAACAAAACCAACTTGGAGACCCTGCAGGCATTATGTAGGGAAAGAACTGAAGGACAACCAACTGTACACTAGCTGAAAGAATTCTGTCGATGGCCCTTTAGTATTAACCAATAAATGACAGTTTCATTATTATTAATTATGTCGGTGTTACTTACACTTCACATTTAATAGCAGAATGCCACCACAATGTTGGTTAACAGTTGCATAATCTTAAACCTTATGGATTCTTTGGTGAAAACATACTCACCCACAGAATTTTTGTTAAAGTAAAAGAAAAGGTAAAGTGAAAATGTATTGTACGGAAGCACCCATTAATTTATTCTGCAACTTGCTACAACTTTCTTGAATCATAAGGAGAAAGTAAGGTTTGGTGTATGAATTAACCATAGTTTCTATTTTGAAAAACAATAAAAAAATTAACATTACTGTTTTTTCATTTTGTCTAACATTTCATTTTCAGTTCTATGTCAAACCGAATGAGACTTTTGGGAAGTATTTTTAAACTTACCAATTACACTTTTTTCTGGTGCAGGAGGTATGATTCGACCGACTTTCAGATATTTTTCTGTAAGTTTGTCATGTAGTCCGAGAAAGTCACTGAATCTCCGAGTGACAGAAAACTCTTTATTCTTGAACATTCGCATGTTAGTTTTAGTTGTTATTCTATAGGCCATGTAAGCACCCATACCTTCTCCAACTTTTTGAGGTTCTGTGATACTTATTTCAAGAAAGTCATCTCCTGCTAATTTTGATTCAACCTAAAAAAAGTGTTTTAACTAAATATCCTCATTGAAATTTTTTTTCATGAGTTTTATACCTGTTCCATACTTGATGGGAGACTCGAACTGTTATTAATTGGAACACTCTCTAATTCCTCTTTAGATTCTTTCAAATCCATTTTGGAAATTCCATTTTCAGCTTCAGCAAATGTTTTAGAAAAATTGGAATTATTTTCAATATGTGACATAGGTTCCTAGAACCGGAAGTATCAACTATATATTTTTGTATTGACAAGAAGAATATTTCAGTTTAGATTATTTTTTGAGAAATCTTTGGCTTTGTACATCATTACATAAAAAGTGTGAAGCCTCAGAGAAAAAAAAACTCATCAGAAAGATGTGTGGATCATATACACATTTTTTTCAGATACAAATAAAAAGAAAGCCCATCTGTAACAACTACTTTCAAATGTGTTTACAATGAATTACACCAAAATCACTTTTTCTCATTCAGTTTATATTCCAAATAATCGTAAGTAATTGAAAAAATATATCTTAAACAGGAACATTACACAATGTGAAATATAAAAGAGCATTGATATAGAATTTCCCTTATAAAATTTCACTGCATCTTTTTGGATACCTTTGAAAGAAGATTCACACAATACTTGCAAAAAACTATAGGACTTTCTTACCAGAGCGGTATACATCTGTTGTTATTAACTGTTGTCAGCAGAAGTGTCTCTTCCAGTGACAGAAAGTCTTAAAGTACTTTACAAGGATGAGGCCGTGTCTGTGCATGATCTACAAATTTTAATGAAAAGTTTTCTTCACATAGAAAATTAATGTTTTCTTTCTTTCTTCCGAAGTGTTGCATTTATGTTGAAGAAGTACTATGCCAACAGTTTCTTTTCAAATGGAAAATATGTTTGGAAAACACCCCTTTTACAGAAAATAATATTAAATTACCTGATGCGCTGACATAAAAAGATTATCATCTTCATCTTCCTTTTCATTTCCTAAAATATCGACATTCTCAAAAAGAGGGGGAGGTTCCAAGGAATCGGCCATTTTTTAGATTAATCAAGAGTTTTTACCGTTTTTGATGCCCTACTGTCGACACTACTACCTTCAGCAAATAACACCATTAATTAAAAAAGTACAGGATTCAGCTTTATTGACAATAGAGTAATTTTATTTTGTCATTCAACCATTTGACAATATTGACAGATGACAGCAAATTTACCTCAGAGAATGAAAAAATATATACTATACTCTTTCATATCAAAGTGTATACAAAAATCTATCACTGTAAAAAAATAGATATATTAGATCGGGTTTTCTCAGAACATATTGTTTCTAATCTTATCTCCTTCTTATTCAGGTTTAGAAACGTTTGTTTTCTTCGTTTTGTTTATTTATTTTATAGGGCTGTTACGTAGATTCAGAAGGTTTTTATAATTGTGACAAATTTAATTTGAAACTGGTAACTTGTAACTAACTTGATGTCCTCACGTAGGACGTGCACAAAAGAAAAAATATGCAAAACTAGGTTTCTAGATGCACAATGGATACTAACTGAAGATTGGCATCCTTCTAGAATTTCGTACCTAGGTGCCGGATTTCGAGTCAGCTCAATCTTTAGCAGGTCACCTTGGAATAAATGGTAGAGGTCATCTATGAAAATATATCCCACTTATGGAAAAAAGTTGGTTCGATATGAATTATTTTTTAGTGTTAGAGCTGCAAAATTTAATACCTATTAGTGGTCATCCTAGATCGATTTCCTCATCCTCTGGAATTTCGTCTAGAAAGTTGGGTCTACTACAATAAGCAGTCACAGTCCGTCGCTTTTTTCTGATATGTACCGGTCTTGGTGGAATCAAATGTGTCAAGTCATTTGAACACCTCCCGTGAAATTTTCTATAAAAGATAGACAAATATCCAATCTTTCTTCGATGTTCCAGAATATCAAGGTTGCAAAAATGATGTTCGTGTCTGCAGTCAGGCAGATGGTTTTCTGGATAGAATCCAGCAACTTCAGGGTATACTTATTAGGGGCGGAGCTCCATACATGAGAACAATACTCCAAAGAAGGAATTTCATTAGTTCGGACTTATATTATATAATATAATATAAAATGATTTGAAATACCAGAAAAACCAATACAATTGAAAATTAAAAATGAATAGGCTAATATGACAATTATATTAATCAAAAAAATCCTGAAGTCGAATCACAGTGAAATAAAATACAATCAAAAATTTTAAAATTGAATAATTAAAAGAAAATGAAGTGAAAATTAAGAGATTTCAAGCTAAGTTGCTTCACATTAAACAAAAAAATAGATTGAAAATTAAAAGAATTGAAGCCAAGTTACTTTACTTGAACAGAAAAAGAAATGAAAATTTGGAGATTTTAAGCCAAGTTACTTCACTTCAGTCGTTTAATTGTTCACTTTTAAATTTTTGTTTGTATTTTGTTTCACTGTAATTTCATTTTCAATTTTCAATAAATCGATGGATGTAGCCGTTACTTACTGGTAGGAAATCATAATGCAGAAAAGAGAAATTAAACTTTCTATGTTTTTTACCATTTTTACCACTTTAGTGGTAGAAAACATAGAAAGTTCAATTTCTCTTTTCTTCATTATTTCAATTTTCAATTGTATTGGTTTCCTTCAGAGATTTCAAATCATTTTATGGACAGACAGACAATGGAAGTCCGAACCAATGAAATTCACCACGAAACATTGTCAATCGTCACCTTCAAACTTCTTTAGAAGGTATGATCTTAGCTTTATAAAGCATCGAAGTTGCTGAAGTGTGTACAGTTTTCTGATTCCGAACAGTGTTTCNAATATATAATATCCCCCCGATTATCAGCTAAACCAACCACCACTGTTTTATAGTCCAACCACATAAGTAGTCCAACTTCAAATGTAAATAAACTCTCCATAACCTCTCATTACTCGCCACCCCACGTCGCCCATAACTTGTACAGAAAACCATAGTCCGATACCCGTTTCACATACATAATATTGTATTGGTATAGGCATGGCAACTCTATATGTCTTATTATTACTCCCCCCATGCTCACGCCCGGGTTGAGTGCCTTGAATGGAAATCTTCCCCACACGGTTAATGTGTGCAGAACATCCCATCTCGTCCGCTCCTCCGCAGCGGTCCTCAATTTATTGATGGGCACTTCCTTAGACTAAGGGCACTTCAACAAGATTGACATCTGACCTTCTTTGGTCAAAATTCAGCCTCTAGGTGCTCAGCTGGCGCATGCGCCCTATCCAAAATCAAATACCACAGAACTTACAGTGTATAGTTTGTTACCGTTCACGATACCACAAAACTAAACTGCCAGTAATCAGGATCATGCTAATTTTCCAACCGCATAACTCAGTAGATGGTACCTAATTTTCTAAATTTACAGCAGGTAATTTTTGAAAGATGCTGTCTCGACCAAATATTTCTTCGCTTGAAATAAATGATTTTGAAAAGTAAAAATAAAAATCAATTTGTTCACGTACGTATAGACACACTGAGCTCTTGAACGATCATTCGCGACAGGTCTAATCCATCCGTGCAAGTTGGAATTAGACAATCTATGTTGAGGAAAAGTTTGTTTTCGAGACGTTTTGTATTTTTTTGAACATTTCCCATTTCCGTCAATTTCCACTTCGGTAGCGCTTTCGCTCGAGTTACAATCAGATGAACTATCTTCCATTTCCGCTGTAATTTGTTTCATATAATTCATAGTACTGGAGACAGTCGAGACTTTTAGTTTCAAGATGTTTGAAGTTATATGGTTTATGATATGAATGAAAATATTAAAAAATATGTTTTCTCACTTTTATAATATAATGGCCTCAGCTACTGAGACTATAACGTATAAGCTGTTAGCTTCGAGTGCTGTCCACTCCCCCTTCTTCTTTCATATTTTTTCAACGTTGATCATTTATAAAAAAAATCCGCATCTTTATGTTCAAATCCTCTACGCCGCTACCGTCGAGTTAATTCCGAGTTGGCAACTCTGATGAATATATCAAAAAATATTCTTCTTCTCTTTCATCATATAATGGCCTCAGGTGCTAAGACTACAAGGTATCGACTGTGCATTCAATTATCAGCTGTTAGCTTCGAGTGCTGTCCACTGCCTCTTTTTCTTTCATATTTATTCAATATTGATTATTGGTAGAACATTCCGCTACTTCATGTTCAAATCCGCTACGCCGCTACCGTCGAGTAAATTCTGCTACGGTAGCGGAATTCCGCTACGGTTGGCAATCCTGCACTAATGACAGATACTCAGATCGGCCAATATACACGTACTCTGGCCAACAACCGAGGCAGAGAAAAAAGTTTACCTGTGACCGAGGAGTATTTGTTTGGACTACTGTTTGGACTTTCTGTGATTTTAGTACGAAAATAAAATATCGAGTGGTAACCCTGATTGATACGATATTTTATGATACGTGATACGTGATTCGTTCACCATTTAGTTTCTTCATACATGTATCCAGTTATTCAGTTCTACATATATTTTATGTACGCGTTTACTTTGCGCCATTTCTGTTAAGTGGTCATTTCTTGTAGACACGGACGGTAATTGCGTGAAATAAATAACCGGTAACCTGTTTATATGAAAAAAATATATCTACCACTAGTGAAAAAAATTAAATAAATACAGTTCAGTAAGTATTCACAATAAAAATATCACTGGTAACATATTCGAGTCGCAGACGATGAGACTCGCTTAAGAGATCGAAGATTTCAACATCCCCAAACAAAATGCTTTTTCGAAACTAACAAATTTTACCTTCGATTCATCTCATCGTAATTTACCACTTTCATTCATTGTTGGATTTAAAAAATTATAATAAAAATTTAGGTTATGGCCGATAACGAAGACTTGGGTTTAGGTGAGGATCACTTAGATTCCTTCGATGAGACTAATGGTATGCACGACGACTCTTTATTGAATGATACTGATGGAGACGGAACTGCTGGAGATGATCCAGAATTGGAAGCAATCAAAGCCAGGGTTCGTGAAATGGAGGAGGAAGCAGAAAAATTGAAACAGTTACAGAGTGAAGTCGATAAACAAATGAACATGGGCAGTCCCCCTGGTTTGAGTAAGTATTAGGTATAAAGTTGTAGAAATTGACAAATATATACTAGATCAATATTCGTTATAATAGTATTGCCAGGCGTACTATAATTGTCGTTTTCATATGAGTTTCATGTTTTACTGCTCTAGACAAAATGTTTATAGTTTTATCAACAAATTGATACGAGTCTACCAAATACAGCAACTCAGAAGTTTAGTGAAACATCAGAGATGATGCGAAAATCAAATCAAAGCTGAGAAATATCTCTTCAAGAATTTTGGAAGAAGACAAAGAGTAATATTGTTTCTTTCTCTGGAATTGATTTGAAGGTCGGCACTGAGGAATACAACAGACTTGTTGAATTTACTTGTAAAACATAAGCATCTTTGATTTAAAATAAATTTACATTCTCTTCAATTTTCCGTAAAGCATTTATAACAGACATCTAACAAAAATGGAAATTAGTCCAATTCTGTTTGCCCCATAGAAAGTATAAAAACTGTTCACTGTGTATTTCACTACATCATAATTCCCTCCATAAATATATCGATTATATTGAAAATGTCCCAATAACATCAGAAATTACTTTTAATTTGTCTGAAACATAATATGAAAAGCCAGGGAAAATAATGACAGTTAAAATCCAAGAAAAATAGAAATATTCAACATTTTGGTTTTATTGAAAAAAGTTCACAACATTGATGGATCCAGTTATTGCAGGTAAACTATGTATAAATGATTCAATATCTCCATTATGCTGTAAATGGATAGGATAAATTCCATATACTCAACATTGAGATTTCAGGAATTAACTTGAAAATTTTTGTATACTCAGCAATGTAAGAATCATTGACAGCCACATACCAGTTTAGGTTTATGATTTGGATTCAATTATTGAAAACATGTTTTTTCAATTTTTCAAACGAGTTGATCTTGATTCAGTGACTGAAAGAACAAACTTCTTTCATTGACCAAAATAATGTCATTTTCCAATTTGATCCAAGATATTGGACTTGGAAACAATTTTTTTCATACCACCAGTGGTGATCAATCATTGTTTTTCTATTTCTTTTCATCAAATATTGAATTTATTTTATATGTTCTACTCCCTTTAATTTTTTGATGATTGAATAAGCATACCTTACAGTTCTTGTAACGGCATTCAGTAGAAATATAAGTTCAATACAAAATTCATATATTTTTTGTTTTGAAATATATCAGCAAAAATGTAGAGTTTTACTGATTAGTTGGATGAATCAGGAATCATATTTATCTGGAAAAGAGAACTGTTGTATATTTGTAATTCATGTAATTTTTTTTGTAATTTCAGCAAGTCCTCTCAATATGTCTCTCGAAGAAAAAATGGAAGTAGATAATCGTAGTGTATACATTGGAAATGTAGATTACGGTGCTACTGCAGAAGAGCTGGAACAACATTTCCATGGTTGTGGCTCAATCAATCGTGTGACTATTCTTTGCAATAAATATGACGGACATCCAAAAGGTTTTGCCTATATCGAATTCGCAGATAGAGATTCTGTGCAAACTGCCATGGCAATGGATGAATCACTTTTTAGAGGAAGACAGATAAAGGTGAGTGTTTTATTTTCTGATTGATTTGGCCTTTACTTGATGAAGTCCATAGTAATTTCATAAACTACACCATACGATTTGATCTCCACAAATTTATTTAAAGAAATATGTCACCAGACAAAGCAAAATTACTATCCTGCGATGTGCAGAATCTATTTGCCAGCATACCTCCTGATGATACTATTACTTCAGTTATAGAATTATTAGATACAAATAGAGTGAACCCAGTTATAAAAAAAGAAATTGTTGACCTTCTGTCGACATGTCTCAAATGAAATTATTTTTAATTTAACAAAATTGTTTTTCTTCGAAAGGTTCAATTATGGGAAAGTCCTTGAGGCCCTTACTTGCGAAAATTATTATAGATAACCTAGAGAAGTCGTTTTTTAAATGACCTTTGATTAAGTATTTCTTGTATTGGCATAGATATGTGGATGAAGTTTTAGTTTGTTTCACAGGTACTAAGATACAATTGGATATTTTTCATATGGATATTAATAAAATTCTTGGACTTAACAAATAGTAGAATGAACAACAAACTTGGTTTTTCAATTTATCACGAACCTTCCCATACGGGTATTACTACACATTACGATTCTACCCATCCATATCAATACAAAGTAGTTTCTTATACTAGCATGATTCATAGATTATTCAATGTTCCTAGTTCTATACATAATTTCAATAAAGAACTTAATATCATCAAGCAATTTGCAGTAAACAACTTATTTAAAGCTGAATTAATAGACAAAATTCTTTTTATAAAAGTCTATGCAAAAGCAATTCGTAATTTTATGTCCTATTGATAAGTTAGATAATGAAAATTCTAGAGCTTTAATATATTTTGGTCACCTAGGAAGGCAAATGATATTTCATACGTACTTTCATATCCGTGTATAATAAAATAAACAAAAATACATGAAATAAAATGAATTTACACATATTAGAAGCAGAAACTGTAGAACATCCAACAAACATCTTATTACACCATTTGCCATTTAGTAGGTTTATATGAGTTTCCTAACTAAGAGTTATATCCATACGTGATACGTAAAAGAATTTAGTGTGATCAGATATTGAAATAAACTTATTTTGGAGTTTCACATATAGTGAAGGATTCCTCAAAGCTGAGTGATTTGTTGAAATTACAAGTCCTGTTTGGAGTTTACATTTTGTACTTTCTCTTGATTTTTATCGAGAGTTTCATTTACTGAACTTCCATTCGGAACCATCAAATCAAAATATACTTTATAGTCAAAAAAGTCTAGTTTTGTTGACAAAGTAAAAGATACATAGTACAGGAATAAAATATAGACAGAAGTAAACACAAGCATTTAAAATATAAATAGAATAAATGTGCACCTATAGAAATTGTAATTTGAACATTTCGTATATATACCCATACATAAATCACATAAAATTTTCTTTATTATTATTAATGTAAAAAAAATGAATAAAATATCGATAAAAAATGTTAGTAGATCATTTTGTCAATATTTCAACTTTCAACAAGTTATCACTCTAAGTGAGTATCCTATACAATAACAGCAATAAAATCACAAAAGAATAGGCAGTTCACATTTTTCATTGAAAGTTGCCATTGTAAAAGTCTTGCAAACTATAATAGGGTCTGCTCAAGTTTTTTTGTGTATTTTCTAAAGCTTAAACAAAGTATTTGCTGTTGTATGATGCATTTCTTCAGTTTCATATATCATTTTACTTATTAGTATAGTAATTTCATGTTGGTATATTGGTTTTGAGTTTAGAATTGGAGTAACTGGCAGTTGCATAACAAATTGAATACTTCTTGGTTTCCTCAGAACCCTCAATGGATTATATGGCCTCATGACGTGTGAACTGATGGGCACATTTCCTAGATTCAAAAATAAATAAGGGAACATTTCAACATCAGCAGCTAACCATTTGATTCTCATGTATTCTACTAATTTAGTCAAATCTTATATATCTTAGTGATTCTCAAAGAAGCAATATACTTTTTTGAACCTTCACTTCATTTCGGAAAAGTAGTTTTTCATTAAATTCAGAATTCAACATTCAATGTTCAACTAGAAGAGTTTTCTTATATTTGGAGAAATATAGTAATGGCGATTTGATATGAATTAGAAAATTATGTTCAGGTTATGCCAAAAAGGACGAATCGTCCAGGATTATCAACAACAAACAGGCCTCCAAGAGGTCGAGGAATCTTCCGTGGATCAAGAGGAATGGGTAGAGGATTTTATTCTGGATATAGACCAATGCGCCGGCCAAGGTAAATGTATTTTTGTTTATCAAATTAGAAACAACATAATTTTCAGTAGCCTTCTAGGACAGTTTACATGTTTCGTGCTGCATATATTTTTTAAATAAATCTAAATACATGTGTTCTAGAAAACTTTTTTTTCATTTTTAGTCACCTAAACCTTTTTTCGGGTGTTTTCCTGTTACTATAACATGTTTTGGTTAAATCCAACTAACATGATAATTGGAGTACTACTGTACTTGTTTTTTGGCGTTTAAGGCTATTTCATTTAGCTTATTGTGCTGAGACAGGCAAAAAGAATAATAAATAGGTTTTTACCGCCTCCTTTGGAACATACAGGTTTTGGCTTTCCACTTCTCCATCTATATACAAAAAAAAATGTAGTATAAAGATGGAGAAGTAGAAAGCCAAAACCTTTCCCAACAATTAATCCCTCCTATAAATATACACCTTTCAATTTAACCATCTCCTTATATCAGAATATCTAAATTTCAGAGAATAAGAATCATACAAATACATTTGTATGAGGACCACCAATGAGGTTATTGAATTATCTGGAATAATCATTATTTTTTGTTATTTGCAATCTTTTGGATGTTCATTATTTTTCATTTAATAATTATGGACTATCTCTTCTTCACACGCTTGCAATTTTCAAATAGATGTATTTCATCACTTTGCACGATTACTTTCTTTCTTTCAGTAGGCGTCTGTTGTTTCTATTTTATCATGAACAAAACTTTTTTTTAATGAACTGATCTCTGCATTTTTAGGGGATACAGACGAGGAGGATATTATGCACCATATTGATGCATTTGAAAAGTAAGGAACACATTACATTTTTTTACACATCCCTTTATTGTTTATCGAGTCACTCATTCAGTGTGAGAAAAAAAGAAAAAAAAGCAAGGATATGAAAAAAAAGGCGAAGACACTGAAAAAAAAGACGAGTTTCACGAAAATTATCATTAAGTACAAACTAGTGCTTATTTTATGTTTTGTTTGACGTATGAGAGAAATTCAAATATGAATCTTTAGTTTTTGAGAGAATGTGTTTTGGGTGAGTGCTATTACATAATTCGATATTTAACATAAAGATTGCAGGTACCTTCGGCCTACCAAGGTAGTATGTTTTTTCAGAAGATTAAGTAATATTGGAAAAAATGTAAAAGAAGTAATGTGATGTAAAAATTATGAATTAAAAATTGGGCAAAATGTACATTTTTGATATTCTTTCATCTGATTCCCCTTTACTGGTTTGGTAATGATAAATTTTCTATTGATCCATGAAATATAATTTGCATATTGCCAAACATGCGCCAAACAAACTGACTGTTATAAAATAACAAGTATAGCTGAGGCACCAGTTAATCTAATAATTACACTGATGATCTTCAAACAAGACTCAATCTCTGACAGAAGCACCAAACTCTTTCGAAGGTTCAAAATAGATAAACACTTCAATCTATCAGACCACTATTATAATTAATATTTATGCAGTCATTGTTCATTGTGGTTCTGACGTTGAATTTGGCCATTATTACGCCTTGGTCAAAGACGAAACGGACTGGTTTAAGTTTGACGATAATCGTGTCACGAAGTGTTCTGACGATGTATTGAAATTATTGGAGCCTCTGGAGACACCCTACATTTTGTTTTATAAGAGAGAGGACATTGGCAGATCAAGATCTTCAGATGATGTGGTGCTGCAGGTTTTTCCGGGTTTTCCTGCAGCTGAAAAAGCAGATGCGCCATTGGAATCAAGAAAGTCACCCCGGAGCGTCAATTAATTTTTATTGTTTTATTATTTCACAAACAAAATTAATGTTATTAAAAAAAAATTAATAATTTGTTATACCTTGTTACGGGTAGAATGAAATCTAGTTCTTTAGTTCTTATCTTCCTCAGATCATTGTTCACTTCTAAGAGATACTATGAAGATGATACTTTTCTAGCAGCCTTTGGTGCGTTCATTCTGAATCTGACCTCAGAATTATATTAGGATTTGGATATAGCATAATTTAGAAGTGTAAAAACAGGTTTTTCATTATATTTGAGGTTTTCCATCCAGAATTTGTCAGGGCACCTGACAGTACAACTATTTTCCATTTTCAATTTCATTTCAGAAACATGATTGAAACTCATTTAATTAGCCTTTTTATAAATCTTTGAATGCCAAACTGCAGTAATACTGCACGCCGTAATTCAAAACCTTATGAACCCAAAATGTTTTGAGTCATGATGTTTAAGGTTTTGAGTTTAAGGTTGTAATGATTGATGAATTTTAAATTCTATGCAATGTAACAAATACTAATTATTAGTCTAATAAATTTTAATTGACCACAACAAAATATTCCCCAAACACTGTTGATAAAAATTTAGTTCAAGGAGAAATGTAAACGTGAATGTAGCAAAATGTTTTTTGGACTTTTAGGGAAGCTAACGCTTGGATCAGATTCCGAACTTGTCTACAATTATGTTGCTGAGAGAAATAAATAAGTAGTTTACATAAAGGATTTGAAGCTTTGATAACTTTTACTTCATTATATGCGAGCGCCGCACAGAAAGCTGAAGTAAAACCATCAGGCACCTGTGCAACGTCTTCGATTTGGAAGATTCGTTGAAAGCACTATGAAAAACAGAAATTAATTTAATTTGCTCCATACGACCAATCAATAGACCGGTTTGGGGTACTTGCCCCATAATCAGTACCGGGCTTGGTCTCTTCAGAATGGTGTGAACCGTCTCACGGCCAAACAAATTAATTCCAGCTAGTCATGAACTCTTTCTGCAGTTGATTCAGTGGCATGTCCTAGCTCTGTCTGCCACCTGCAGACAGAGCTAGGAAAAATCTCCACAAACACATACTACGGGGTGGTAGTCTGAATAATGATTAATATTCCGAAGAAGTTATTTTCCACTATGAAAAGCAGAAATTGATTTATGTTTTTCATAGTGAAAGCGAATTTTCAATGAATTTCAACCAGAAAAAACCACATCCTATCAGTACGTGACATCGTACATCGAATTCTGAAAGAAGCAAAATTCCATCCTTATACAATGCAGAATGTACAAGAATTAAATTAAGATTATCTTAACAGACGTACAGAGTTTTGTGAAATCATGAGTCACTTATTGATTGGTGATAATAATTACCTCTACAATGTGTGCTATTTTGAAGAATCTTCTTTTTATTTAAATGGACATGTGGACAGGCACAACTGCAGATACTGAAGTGATGTAAATCCTCATTGGTAGAGGGAAACTCATTCACGAACTCTCTAGAAATTGAATGTTTGGGCTGGTATTTTGGGAGACCATACTGTAGGTCTATATTTTATTCAACGTAACCTCAACGGACAAACTTATCTTGAACTTCTTGATACAACTGTGAACCCCAGAATCACTCAGTTACTTGAAGATGATGATGATAGTCTACTTGAAGGTCAGCTCACCAGGTTGCACCTGAACGTCAATTTTTAAATGACAATTTCACAGGGAGATGGATTGGATGGTAAAGACCAGAATGGCCTGCTAGATCTCCTGATTTGTCACCATTAGACTTCTTTTTATGGGGTCATTTGAAATCCAAAGTTTATATTACACAGCCAAATTATCTTGATGATCTACGCAGGAGAATTGTTGCGGAGTTGCTTGCAGTGACTCCAGAAATGTTGGGAAATGTGCGAAGACATTTCGAAAATCGTTTATACTTCTGTATGGAACTGAATGTTCACATTTTGAACCTTTCATATGATGATTACATTTTAGGTGATGAAAAATAAAAATATCTTGATAGAACTTAGTTTTCATTAAAACTTCAACAACACTTGATCAATCCTCAATTTCAGTAAACCATGTATTTAGGATTGAATTCCCTTAAAAATGATGTATAGTAGTATAGTAGTCGCATTGAAAATTCTGAAGTGGGGGGTTGCTGAGGATGAGGGGGTTGACAACACAATGATGATGTATATTCGGTGAAAGTGTTCCCCCTTGGAATAAAAATCGACGGGTCTGAGCGATTTTCAATGCTTTTCACGAGTTCGCAGATTAGGGGGGGGTGACAAGTTTTAGCTGACACACACTGTATATTAATTTTCAACAGATATTTAAATTTATGAGTTTTCATCCATAAATTAACATTTTTGAACAGATTTTTTTTAAATTTTTTGTTTTCATTATTGGATAAATCAGTAATTACTGTGATTGATTGTAAGACCAAGAAAAATGGCTTCTGATATGAGAAATAGGATACATATGTTTTCGAATTCAAATAAGAAAGATATCTAGAGAAAACTGCATCGATTGTTGTTCCATGTCTTGTGGTGGGTTTATTTCGTTATATTCATTCGTAGTTGTAATTTATCTTGTAGAAAGTTTACCAAGAGTTGTCCATCTTCGTCCGCGAAAATTAACTTTGAAATCTCCTGCTAAAATTAGTGTCAATGTTTGATAGTTTTCTCCGTATTCTTCAGAGCCTACTTGACCGTAAAAATGTGCTCGCACCCCTTCTCTTTCTCTCTATTGTCACTACAGTAATATAAGAAACGTAACTCTCTTTTTCTATCTTCACTAACTTATACCTCCCTCTCAACTTCCGTTCGGCTCGCCCGATCATACTTTTCGTAACGCTCTCGTCACGCATTCACCCCCAAGTCAATCGTAAAGAAGTTTTACTTCTTTACCCCTTTTCTCTAATCAGTGTTTATTCCAAACATTCGTTATGGAATTTAAACAGATTCATAGAATTGCTACACAGTATAGAAAATGAAAGAGGTAAAATTACTCTTACATAGAACACTGTCATCCTAACTGGTGGTCTTCCGATGTTACAGCATAGAACATTTTTCTTATCGGCTCAGCAGCACTCAATCCATTCATAAAATTACGACTTTGTCTCGAATGAGTTTAATCTGCTCATGTCGCCGATGACGGTACGTAATGACATTCTTTCGCATATTTGATCAAATCCCAGCCATAGAAATCTTGTAAGGGGTATATTTTTAGCCTTTTCCATACCATCATAAATTTTGGAAGTTTATAACTGTTTGTAATAATATCTTTTCTTTCAAAATCGAACTCTTGGTCTTAGTGCATGCTGATTTCTTGTACTTGGAAGTTTTATATCAAGTAGGGTTTTTATTTTCAGAAGTCTATTTGTATGTAAATAACCACCCAACTGTATTTGAAAAAAAGGGGTATGACACTTCCTCACAAACAAATATAAGGTGATATGTTTCTGCATTTTTGTGTAAAATTATTTCCCTGGCAATTCTGCTTTCGGTAGCAAATCTATGATTTGTTTTTTTTTTAATCTGACGTTACTCTCATTTATAAACTTCTTGGGTTTGATACACAAAAAATAAAAATTCACTTTGTGAAGTTGATTTCATGCATTTTGCAAAATGAAACTGAATGACTTGTCTAACCTATGTGAGTTGGTTTTCGATATACAGATGTTTCCATTTAGTGTCGGTCCTCTTCACCAATACGTCTAAGAAAGGCAATTCGTTGTGGACTTCCTTCTCCATTGTGATAGTGATGGAAGGACTTACGTTGTTGATGTTGTTACGGGTAATATTTTTTTCAGAGATTTCCAATCAATTTATATTATATTAGACAATGAAAGTCCGAACTGATGAAATACTTATCAAAGAAGTTTTTTTTCTGATTGATTCGGTTACTTGATGGAGATCCATAGTAATTTCAAAAACTACTCCTCACGATTTGATCTAACTTTATTTGAAAAATATCACATGTTTTGCTAGCACAGTAGCTTTTTCAAGTGGAATCACTTGAGAAATGAAAAATACCACGTTTCGCTAGCACAGTAGCTTTCTCAAGTGATTTCACTTGAGAAAGCTACTGTGCTAGCGAAACATGTTGTGATATTTTTCCAATAAAGTTTGTGGAGATCAAATCGTGAGGTGTAGTTTTTGAAATCAAAAAGAAAGTAGGTTGTTCATGTATGCATATGATACTTTAATAGCAGTTACAGGAGATACTTTCCAAGAAGTTTCCATAAAAACTGACAATGTGATTAAAGATTTTGTATTTTGGTGTAATATCAATCAATTAATTTTCAATTTAGAGGAAACAAAATACATGCAATTTTCATTAAAACGGTTGGTCAGTGAAGAAATTCCTGTCGAAATAGAATATTTTAACCTATAAGGGTGATCTATAAATGTCTTGGCACTATGATTGATGAAAAATTTACTTGGTCTGAACAAATCAATTGTGTGCAAAAAATTGAACCAAGCATTTGTTTGCTATTCACAGACTAAAATACACCCTAAGCAAAGCATCTCTAACCAATGTTTAGAATCTGCATCAAATTTTGTTCAAAAAATGGAAATGAGTGCTCAAAAACACTTGAAATGTTGATAGTGGCATACGGTGATTGAATTCCGAGTCAGAAAAAAGTGATACCAGTGATACAACCGATGAAAATGTTGTGAAAGTGAAGAAATTATTATGGAGAATCGCTGAATTTTGTCAAAAAACCGTCACATGAGCATCGCTCAGGAATTGTTGGCGATCCAGATTTGCTTAAAAGGGTCATAACTGGTGACGAATCATGGGTATATGGTTATGACATCGAGAGTCCAAAGCCAGAGCCCAGGAGAGCCAAGATCAAAAAAGCACGCCAAATTCGATCAAATGTCAAGGTTTTGCTCACTGTTTTTTTCGATTACCGTGGCGTAACGCATCTGGAGTTTTTGCCACATGGTCGCAAGGTCAATAATGAGTATTGTCTTGAAGTTATGCACCGCTTGCGAGAAGCAATACGAAGATAATGGATATTGTGGAAAAACAATTCGTGAGTTGCATCGCGATTACCTCACACGTTTCCCTCTCCCGCTCACTAAAGTCTCTCTGAAACACTTACCAACGACGCGCGACCTTGAAGTGGGCCAGAAGCCTCTTTGTTTATCTACTACAATGCCCTCGCTCATTCAGCAATTAGTTATAACATAACGTTATGTTATAACATATGGGGACAAGCAACGCAATGTGGCCGGGTATTCATTAATCAAAAAAGAATTATACGACTGATTTGCAATCTAGAATATCGAGAATCGTTTAGACCAGTCTTTAAAGAAAATTGAATACTTACTGTAGTGGGAATTTATCTATTGAAAATATTAGTGTCTGTTCATAATAACATTTAAAATATCGAGAAAAACTAGAATATTCACGGTTATTCGACAAGAAATCACAATAACATATACCTTAAAAGTTTTCGAAATCTATCTTATAAGCGATCGCCAGAATAGGCTGGAAGTTTCTACTATAACTTGCTGCCGAGGAATATAAGAGAAACTTCTATCAACTTATTAAAAAAAAATGTGAAAACTCTCTTAAACAATAATCCTATATATGCAATTGATGAATTTCTAAATTTGGTTAAAACATATGTGTATATGTACATCTGTGTAAAAATTGATATAGTGTGTATATTTTATAATTTTAAATTTATGAGTATCGTCAACATCGCAAATTTGTATGGATGAACTATCTTTATCTATTTGTATATTGGACGAACCTAATATATATTATATGGCAAAAAAGGTAATAAATGAATTGAATTTAGGTTGTTGGTGCCCTAAATTTACATTTCTTCGAATATATTGTTTTTATTGTGTCACAAAAAATATTAAGTACAATTATCAAGTAGATACCATTTCACTGTCATGAAGTAACTCAATTGAAGATCTTGGTGTATATTTTGATCAAACATTGTCTTTTTCCAACCACATTAGATCGAAAGTAAGTTAAGCATTGAGAGTTTATGGCTTTATAGTTCGCAATTGTAGATCTTTTTCAAACATTCTGCTTTATTTATTCTTTATGTAGCCTACGTAAGGTCAAAATTAGAATATGGCTCTGTTCTATGGTCTCCATTTTACAATTGCTATAATACATTAATTGAAAAAGTTCAACGTTGTTTCCTAAAGTTTATTTACTTCAAATCTTATGGTATCTATCCTGATAGAGGTATTCCTTATGAATCTTTAACCATAACATTCAATATTGAAAGTCTGGAATTATGCAGAAAACTTGCTGGAATAATTTTTTTGTATAAATCACTGCACAACAATGTAGATGCTATGAATGCTTATAAATTTCTGTGTGCCTCATTTCAGAACTAAAAGTACAAAAACTTATTACAGTCGACTGGCCAGAATCAATTTGTACCTCAAGTCACCTATCTTTAGCATTTGCAATAATTTCGATTTAATTTCAAATTTGTGTGATATCAATTTTGATTTCCTAGAATATATTGTTGACACTGCATTTCAGTATGTATTTCATGAACACTTTTTGATTTTATTATATTATACTTTTGTTATTCATTTATTCAAATTGTAACTTTGTAATTATAGGACCTATATTACTTTTTCAACATTTTCAGTTAACCCTGTAGATGGTTTTTTAACTGTTGGGTACTGAAGGCTATTATTGTTATTATAAAAGTTTCTAAGCTCCTATGATAATCATATAGAATAGAATTTGTCATTAAGCACAGAATAAAATACATTCTTTGCTACTTGAATACATACTCTCGATTTAAATGTTTGCAGACTGCATTTATTTCCAAATACTTTGATTGCATGGTTGTAGTAAATGATGCCTTGATAACCGGCAGAGTCCTGTCCCACTGCCAAACGTGAGTAAGGTAGTCCTAATTCGTTACCCCTTCGTGTATTGTAGTTATGGCACATATTATTTTTTGTGTAGTGAGCATAATTTTTTTAATATTTACGGCTACTACAATATGTAAAGGCAGGGAAGAGTAAGTATGGACAACTGATTGAATGTGTTCTTACATGATTCTTTATAATGAAGTCCAGCTAGGCATCTTATCACTTTTTTTGAGTTTGAATGCCTTCAAGGCGTGATCTGAGTTTTCTCAGAAGGGCAGCTCGTAAGATAGAATAGACGGCACAAGTCCATAGTGTATTAATTTAAGCACTTCCAGCGAGACAGTTCCACGTAATTGTTTTATTACAAAACAGCTCAGTTTTGTTACTATATTTTCTATGTGTACTTCCCATGTTAGTTTTTGATCGATGGTTAAATATTTCAAGTGACTTACATGCTCAATGGACCTGCTATCCATTTTTATAAGAGGACAATAATCATAGGAAAGTTTTTTTTGCTGGAAAATCATAAATACCGATTTGGTTACATTTACTGTTATCCCATTATTTTTTACACCACTTGGAGAATTCATGTGATAAAGCATTTGCTGTTTCTAAGGAAGTAGATAACTCATTTCGTGCCACCATTTGAGTTGTGTCATCTACATAGATTATTGTTTTTTGTTGTGACATATTTGAATTTTCTACGTCACTCATGAATAGTATAAAAGGGATAAAGTACGTTCTACTCATTTCTGTGTAGAAGTTTTGATTGTCACATTTGTTTTCTGGTTTTCTGAAACTGTCTAACTCCCCCAATTCATAAATTTTTGAAACATAATTTGTTTTCAAAATGTTATTTGCTGGAATTGGCAGATACTTGATGAAATGAATATGTGCAAGGTATTCTCACAATAAAGGTGTTTCTTCAATATATATTTCAAAATGTTGATATTAACCAAAATTATAAATATTGATAGTTTTTATCTGAGAGTATTTATTTCATTACACTGAACATTTTTAACTTCCATACCGGTGCCTGTTGGAAAGTCTATACAAAATTTACAAAAAAATAATACATTGCAGAAGATAAAAAAGTTCATTTCACACTGAAAGTTGCGAAAACATCAGAAAATGGAAAACTAGCCTGCATAGGGCTAGTCAAATCAGCTAGATAGCAAGCAGTTCCTGCCAGGCCTTCATACAAACTGTAAGGATAATCCGGGGTTCTGGCACCACTTTGAAATTCACCTGTTCCCAAAAACTTGTAAAACTGAATGGCTCGATATAAGTATTTTGGATCATTTGTCAGTCTGTACAGTAATAGAAATACATAGCCATTTCCTGCCACACCATGGCAAAGGCCAGGACCTTTCTTTAGCAGTCCTTTTTCCCATATCAGGTCAGACATACGTTTGCAAGATACTAAATATTTGTCTTCGCCAAAGACGAGGTAAGCTTTTGCCATAAGGTATGCAATTCCTCCTGCTCCGTGACACCAATGGACAAGGTCGGAAGTGCGACCAATTTCATCTGTAGCAGCCGGGAAATTACCTGAAGAAAAACAATGATTTTTGAACTATTCAGAGATGTCCATCAGAAATAATATACCTCCACCAATTTGTTATAAAATACACGATTTCTAGAAAAATCCAAAACAGTTAATTTACAAATCCATTGAGGTCAATTACCCCAATAGGAACACATTTTCCTTCAAACAATATTTCTTCAATAACTTTTCCAATGACCATCATCCTTTTGTGAAATGTGCATAATAATACAAGCTGAACCAGAATATTTCTGGTTCAGCTTGTATTCAGAATACTACCAAAATTATAAACACCCATTAAACATGGTAGGACACCCCCCCCTTCAAAACTTTAAAGTGTTTATTTGTAATAATAATTGATAACGCATGATCATCTTAATGTGTTTACCAGACATATGTTCAGTTGAATTTAATAGATAGCTCTAAGGAAAACTCTTTTCTCACACCAGAATTGTTAATTCGACGCGGTTCGCAAACTAAGTTATTAGGGCAGACAGTTTTGGTGTGGAAAAAGTGTTTTTATAAGATTCATTTTACAAAAGAGGTTCCAATTATACCTAGCCATGTTCTGGGTGATCTGAAAAGTTTTCTGCCTAACACAGATACAAAACATTTAGTTAGATTTGTTTCTTATTTTTCAACACACATACTTCTCCCAGCGATGTTCTCATTTCTGGAAGCAGTCCAAATAGTACTCGTCATTTTTCTCTGCAAAATAATTGTTCACGAAGGTGATTGCCTCTTCATTTGACGAAAATATCTGTCCTCAGAGCGCAATTTTGAGATAAGAAAACAAAAAGAAGTCATTTTAGGCTAGATCTGGTGAGTAAGGCGGATGGTCAAGCTGTTCAAACCTCAATTTTTGAATTTTCGCTATGGCAACCACTGAGGTGAGAAACGTTGCGTTGTCCTGTTGAAAAAGGATTTTTTTCTGCAAATATGGCTGTTTTTCTGCAAGTTCTGCCTTCAGCTTGTCAAGTAATTATGTGTAGTATGATAATCAATTAAAATAACTCCATGACTATTCCAAAAACCAGTCGCCATCACTTTCCCAGCCGAAAAATAGTTTTTTGCTTTTATTGGAGCAGGTTTCGCCTTTGCAGTCCACTGTTTGGACTGTATTTTTGTTTCGGGCGTATAATGGCGTATCCATGTTTCATCTACATTGCGCCTAAACTGCGCCAACAGAACGTCGGAAATGTTCATTCGAATACGTTTTTGTTTTAACGTGAGCAAACTCGGCACCCAACGCGCGGACAACTTTCTAATGCCTAAATGTTGATTTAATATGTGACAAGCACGTTCTTTTGACATGTTCATAACCTCTAATCATCATCTCTCACTTCAATTCGGCGGTCGTCTAGTACCATTTGGTGAACTTTGACAGATGAATTCGAATCACCCTCACATTCAGAATCAATAGCCATAATATCAGTTAATATCTTCTTCATTCATCAGCTTTTCTAACTGCTCATCTGACAATTTTTTCGGATGCCATATATCGAATATATTACATCGGACGAAAATCGCACATTCACATTGCAAAAAAAACGCAAAATGATATTATGCCTGTAAATTCAGCCCAGCCAAGTATCAGATACGTAAAATTATTTTTTTCCCCACAATTCATATATTGACGGGCATATATATCAAATATTACCTTTCTCAGTAATAATTCAACCGAAAAAAAACTGAATATAAAATGTACAAATTCTAACAGCAAATTCTTTTTCCATAATTTCACGTAAACTGTGACTAAATATCAATATTATTTAAAACAAATACACTATAATTTGAGAGTATTGAATACTTATTTAACTCATTTTGGTAATATTTCCTTCTATTATTCATGGACAAAAAAACTTTCAAAAAATGTAAGCTTTTAGATGAACTATTGGGATTATAATTTCCCACCTAATAGTTCTCTGCTAGAACGACGCTTCCTATATTGGCGAATAGATGGCAGCACATGTATTCTTATTATATACTTATATCTTGGGAAAATATTCTTCCTGTAAAACATTAGCTGCCTGGTGGGAAAATATTATACCAGTAAACCTTAAAGGGTTCATTATATGCAGAATATCACACATTTCAGAACCTATTTCAAGACTGATATCATTACCAAAGATAATATTTTAGTGGAATCAGCGAAACTATCTATTCGAATTTACCTTCACTGCTTTGTACCGTTAGCAGAAAATCAATGCAACTTTTTATGTCTACAGCGTCGGTAGGGTTTGCATCTAAGTAGCCAGGAACAGATATTAAAGCTTGAAGTATGGAGCATAAACCGTGAGCAGCTCCTAAATACTCGACTTGGTAGTAAGCATACATCAGCGGACAAGGCGACTGGTGCCTTTTAGCATATGTTCTTCCAGATTTCAAAATGACTTTACACATCTCATATATATCTTGCTTTGGAATTGGAGTGCCAGTCTCGTTGGAGAGCCAGAGTGCGCCTAAAATAAAGCCTAGAACAAAAATAATTTGGTAATGTTACCATATATTTCATTCATATTATGAATAACAGAATAATATATGATTACTGAAGTAAAGTGTTAACCCTTTGCTCGGAGAAGTCTTTAGAATACTTCTGAGGATTGCCGTTCATGGGAGAATGACAGCTAGTTAAAGAAGAAGAAACTATAAAGTCAATTATTCTTATGAATATGTATTTAGGCTATTTTGTAAATATAATTCAAGTCATGTACTTGTTTGAAAAGATATCTTTTCAGCTTTCAGTTGCTCTGTTGACTAGTACAGAATGGAAAAAATGTGAAAACGTGTAGATGTCTAAAAAACTGTCTCCCTATATGGATACTGACTTACATATTTTCCAACTTTTTCACTTGGAATATTTTTAAAAATTTCCGAAACGAATTCCTTGAAAAAAAAGTTACATATTACGATCAATATTTTAATTTGAGATAAATAAACCTAACCAAACTGTTATTGAGATATTAGGAATAGAAGTTCAGAGTATCAAAATTAATTTTAATAATGGAGAAACTAGTGGATGAACTTTTTCATGTAGAAAGCTCAGGAAAGAAGCATTTCCTAAATAGTTATTATTGGATAGGATTGAAAAATGTAGCTAAAATAATTAACAATATCCTGAATAAAACTGTCTCCGAGGGTATGGTCTGTAAACTTTTGAAAAATTCTTTTGGTTTTGTTGAACACATACTTTTACATATTATTAATTTGTCACTTCAGTATAGTAGATTTCCTGATGGGATGAAAACTATTGCAACTACACGAATACTGACAGTTACTGAAACTATAGAAACATAAGAATTTCGCGCAATAATACATTTCCCTTAATAGAGGAAGTGTTGGAGCCAGTAGTGTATGAACAATAAATATAAGTACAGCTTGCCAAATCTAGGAAGAGACCTGGGGGGAATTCTCTCTCTCTCTCTCGTTCTCATAGTCTTCTAACGAACGCACATCTAATGGGCGGGTCCATAACGGAATTCAGAAAGCTCTTCCTACATTTGACAAGCTCACCATCTCTAAGAGGAAAAATTATTGTTTGAAGGTGGTTGACAATGTTTCATGGTGTATTTCATCAGTTCGGACTTCCATTGTCTAATATGATATAAATTGATTTGAAATCCCTGAAAGAATCTGTAAAAACATATAAAGATTAACTAAAAAATAACAATTTTATTAAGCAAAACAACTGAAATTACAATGAGATAACATGCAAGCAATAACCAAAAAAAAAAAATAACTATTGACACGAGCTGAAAAAATTCAAAATTTATTAACAAGAAATGAAAATTATAAAATTTTAAGATTCCAAACCAAGTTACTTCACGACGTTTCCATTGTTAGTATCCACAATTGTCTTCGGGTGATAACTGGACTTATTCCTTCAAGACCTGACGATTTATAGGTCATTAGACTGCTTTCACCTACCCCCTCTTCCCTCTCTCCGCTTCATTGTTTTTTAGCGGGAGCTGACCGATTCGCGGGAGTTGGTCATGTTCCGCTTGATTAGAGGTTTCCATATGTTACGTACCTCTACGCTAGCTTGGCTAAATGCGTTGTTGGACAACATATGGGCAGCTTCTTTAAATTTTCTCATAAACCAGTGTTCCTCCTTGTGGATGATTTCAGCTTGAGCCCACTTGATGTTATGTTGATGAGTCCAAACATGCTCTGCTATTCCGGAATAGCTTTTGCTTAATAAACTTGTTATTTTTCAGCTAATCTTTTTAATTTTTTACAGATTCGTTCAGGGATTTCGAATCAACTTATATCATTTTAGACAATGTAAGTCCGAACTGATGAAATACGGGAAAAATTATATACAGACTGGGGTAAATTTGTTGTATCAGTTTTTTTGGATCAGAAATTTTAGAATCTTGATTGCTATTCTTTTATCTGTACTTTATGAATATGGAGAACTATAATGAGTTGAATGACTGCAATAACAAAAATTGAGGATTTCTTCTCACTTCAACCATTAGATAGATAGATAGATAACTTTATTACCTCATTAGCCACATAAGTGTAGGTTCGTTAGTTACAATCATCGGATACATCCGGATACAATGATTAAAATCTAACATTATATTGAAAAAAATATAAAAAAAAAGTAGAATTAATGATATAAAAATATTAAAGAAACAGTACAATAAACAAGTATTCTCACCCAGATTTGAATGCAAAATTACTATTTATTAACATTTAGAAGATCTACGAATTCTTGAATATTATAAAGCGGATTGTCAGCCAGTAGAGTTTTTACAAGCTTTTTGAATCTGTTAACGGTGGTATTTTTTATTTAAGGCGTAATAAACGTTTAGCAGGGATGATCTGTTCAAGGTTGATTTCAGTGAATATAGGGCAAAAAACGATTTGTTCAATCTCTGACATACGCTGTTGATTTGATCAGACCACATAAATTTTTCATCAATAATTGTGCCGAGAAAGGTATTGGTCGGGCTGGTAGTGACCATAAAATTATCTATTTTGATTGATATATTATTAGACAGTGACCTAGGATTTGATTATAAGTGATGATGTATGGCAAAGTAGTGTATCTGGACTCCTACTTTTTTAATATATAAGTGACCTACATATTTTTTGTATTTATGATTTAATTAATATTTCTGTAGACGACACAATCAATTATCAATACTTCAACAAAAGTGAACTCAATGTAACTGAAATTGAAGCAATAATTTTAACAGCGCCACCTAGGTATAAACAGATTAATATATATTGTTTTTACTGTTGACAATGGTAAAATTAAAATTGTGCAGGAATTTGAATACTTGAGATTTATGATCAACAGAATTTTGACATTCAATTCCCACTTTAATAACATCAATAGAAAGATTGCAAAAAATTCAATTTTTTCTCGAGAGTTTCTTGTCATCTTTCTGTCAGGAATTGCAGAATACGAGTATAATACAATTATTTTTACCCCAATTTGATTATTGTGCTTTATAGTGTACTCAATTATTTTGTTTCGCAAAAGTTGCAAAATCTCGTGGAGTGATAGTTATTATAAAGTATAATCGTTAAAAATATTATGAAAGATAAATTACATAGTTGTCTTGATAGATTTCAACAGTTTCAACTTATATTACATTTGAAGTTATAACTTCCCTTGTCTCTTATTTTTGCACACATTCTTGACAGGGTATGGCTCCAAAAATGCATTAGAAATATTTTGAATTACTGTCAAATTGCAATTCTTTAAAAACTCAACCACTCATCATACTTGATACTTGGAGTAAGTAGACCAGTAGTAAAGAAATTGAAACATTCAGTGAATTATAGTAATTGAAAGTTTCATATAAGTGTCAATAATTTTCGATGGTCTTTGGAACTGTGTTTTGGAAACCGATACAGATGCTACCGAATATCATAGAGCTTTTGTTAATGTATGTCTCAGTGTGCATTGTGCAGCCTTCCAATATGTTAGATTAAATCAGTGCAAAGAATACAAGGAATTCTTCAAAACTTTTTCCAAGACAAAGGACTTTTTCGCCGTCACTCTTTCAAGCAAGTTACGCTCTGTTCAAAAAATAAGGAGAATTTTCATTTTTCTCAAAAAATATTTATTTATTCATCAATTTCTATTTTGTCTTTCTCAAAGTAACCCCTCTCAGATATACACATGTGCCAGCATTTTTCCAATCCTCCAAGTAGTTCTGATATGTTCTTTTTGGTCCAGTGGGTTGGGCTACCTACAGATGGCCAGGGGACTGGAGGCTCTGTTCGGGAAGCCAATGTAGTCTTACGGACGGAGTCGCCGGACTCCTGGTCAGTAGCAGAAATAAGTAGGGTGAGGGGAACTAAAACCCCCCCAAAAGCCTTTGCAAAACATGCCACCTTGGACCAGCCTACCCAAGCTAAGGTGTAAGGTGTGCCGACAGCTGAATGATCGCAGGGTGATATGCGGTCACGAACATGGCAATTGCACTACCGTTATGCAAAAGCCATGAATTGTGTTTCCACAATACCGGACGTTTTTTTCATATTGCTTCTCACAAGCGGCTCATAACTTCAAGATAATACTCCTCATTGATCAGACGACCATGTGGCAAGAACTCCTGATGCACTACGTCACTATAATCGAAGATCAACAATTCATGAGTGATGCTCAAGCATTCAGCAATTTTGGAAAAAACTTTTCTGCAACACGCTTCATGTGCCCAAAATTTCCGCAATAATTAAATGGCATGAGCCAACTGATATGCCGACATCCTCGGCAACTTCTTTAATAGTAATCTGACGATTCTCCACAACAATTGTCTTCATTTTCTCGAAATGTTCATAGGTTGGTTGTTGATGTGCTGGGACGTCCAGGGCGAGCGTCATAATTCACATCTCGACCTTTTGTGAAATGCTTGCCCAACTTGTGAGCATTTTTCAGACTCGCGAGTGTAATCACCGTATGCCACAGTCAACATTTCAAGTGTTTTTGAGCACTTAATTTCATTGTTTATCAAAAATTTGATGCAAATATTATTACGGACATAGCAAATATAGTAGATAAGTTGATTAGGAAACGTAAACTTAGGGAGAAACTTCAAAAATCATCCGACTTTTTAAAAAGACATTGATTCAAAGTTGATTGTCCTTCTATATATGAACCTATATATACTAACGGATTAGATACTTACCCTCAACAAATGTTTCCTAAAGATAAGATGATGTATGATGAAAATTTGGTGATATATGAAATAAGCCTTGAGGACTGTGACAAAATATATCGGTCAGACTAAGCGAGATATGAAAACTTGTTTCAAAGAACACGCAGCATATATCTGTTTTTGGAGTCCAGAAAAATTTAGTGTCACCCAGCATGTCTTGGAGAACGGCCATAAAATAAATGAAAACTATAAATTTGTGGATATCGGTACATGTCATTGGATTTATTACATGGAAACAGCAAACTGTGGCATAGGAACTATGAACTGTGACAAAGATACCATTCCAAACAGTCCATTGTTTACCTTAAAACGAATCACTCTGCTGAAATTAGCGGAAACTTTCATGAGAAAATACCTGAAATCATTGATTTGTGTTTGAAAGTGTAAATGTGCCCTGTTAGATATAACTAGTAGATGCTAGGTTTAGAGTTAGGGATTAGTATGCTTCTTCTCTTGAAGACGCCAACTTGGTTTGTGAAACGCGAGTCGAGAAGAGGGTTTCAGTTCTGGTATTTGGGAACAGTGCTTGTTCTGAAGGAATGTTACTGTAAATTATGAATAGTTCAATGGAAAAAAGCATTTCCACACAAAAAACATCAGTGTTGTAAGCACTAACTGAATATTAAATTTCCAGAAGATATTGGATATTCCTATATTAGTGTACCATTATTTCATTTTGATTCTTCTATTGAATATTATCTGATTGTTCATATCTGTTACTTAGAGTTTTTTATAAGTAGGTTTCTATGTACATATATCAGGATTTCTAAATGAAGTGCATTCAGTCATTAGTACCACAGCAAAAAGGTTTTTGCAAACAAATCTTTCCAAAAAATAATTTTATAAATATCTACCTGCTCTACCAACAAACAGCTCATCTGAGCCACAGCTCAAAAAATTTTGTTCTTTGCATATATTAGCTGCCTTGTAGTAGCAACTCATGAAGTGTTCACTACGAGTTTCGTCTCCAACTGCTTTATATACTGCTGAAGCAACAGCATATATTCCACAGTTTCCCAAAATGAAAGATGGCATGTCAGTATTTTTACTTGAAACACATGATGCTACGTTCAGAGCTGGTTTTAGGTATTCAATTGCCTTATTCAAATATTCTTTATTTCCCAGCAAAGTTTGTATTTTACTGAGGTGATAGAACATGTAGGTAATACCAGCTGTTCCAAGATATATTCCATCACTTGCATTTTTTTCTGTTGGTTTCACACCGTTTTCGATTTTTAAAATTATGCTATCCAAGCTGCTAATTATTTCTGCAGAAGGTATTTCTGGAAAACCAAAACTTGTTTCATAATCCGGTTTAGGATTGACGAAATGTCGAGTTCTCTGTGATGACATGCTCCCAAATTGTCTTCGAATCCTACCAGTGAAACATTTAATTTGATTAAACATTTGAGGCTAACATTTTTTATGTAAAAGCACTTTCTAGTAATTTTCTTCAGGGCATCTATTTTGTATTATTTTGTTTACAAACAAAAGATTGACAAAAATCAGAAATGACAATTACAGTGTTGCCAGAGGCCAACTCTTCTCTCTTGTTATGTGGTCATTGCGATAATCTAAGCCGCGAGGGATGCATTGCTAACCGGTAGCTACAGAGCTATACCTTTCTCATCATGCATAAGTAGAGTCGATTAAAGAATCAAATCGAATGGTAAATGGAAAATAGGTAAATATTTCCTCTAAATCAAACGGAATTCAGGAAAGACAAATTTACAACTTTATTGCACACAACTCATCATCTTCATTCAACTAGTTTTCAGTAGTTATGAATACATTCTGGGAATATTCCTATATATAAAAGTTGCCCCCTTAGCGTTAGTCAACATAATTCTTAACTCTTGACAGACATATTTTCATCAAGGATAATGAAAAGCAGTTGTGGAGTTCACAACGAATTTCAAATGGAAGGATCTCCTCTATATTTCCTATCTTCTCTCTCCATATACAAAATCATACCGAGTAACGCCTTGCTACTGTTATACGCAGACATCTTTACTGTAAAGGCAATAGTCCTTTAAGGATGATAAATCATATGAACGAGCACTCACCATTATCTCCAATTTGATGAAAATCTATAACTTCCAAATCTCGGTAGAAAAGAGAAGTTACTAAAAAAACACAGTTAATATAAAATACAATGGAATTATATCAACACATAATTTGAACTAGAACCAAGATATTGGATCAATATTAAAATCAAAACTCTTGAAAGGATCAACCTAATACGGTCGTCCAATAAAGTGCGGTGGCAGCAGATCCAGTAACCCTAAAAGTCTCTTACAAAACTTACTCGTTGAATCCCATCTTGATTATGGGTCAACAGTGGATACATTAGACAAGGTACATTGCCAAGCCCTACGCGTGATAGCAGGATGGATGAGGTCCACCTCAATTTCTGCAGATACATCGAAAATATCCTTAGAGTAAATGCGAAGATGTCTATCCACTAAATTTATTTCAGAATTATTGATTTATACCAAAACCCCATCATTCGGAATTCAGAGAGTGTGAAAATCTATTGCAGCCTGAATAAGGGCTACTGTTATAGCAAAGGAAAACCATATCTGGTGGAACCATTCAACCTGCCCAAATCACGCAGAAATGATATATATATATATTGAAATGCTATTTTTAAACTTGAGTACGATGTCCATTTGTAGTCAGTCCTTTATATTAATTCATATATGAATAAGCCTATACCAGCAAATGATATAATATTCAAAGCAGCTACACATACATTTATTCAATACCTGCAGTACGAGTTCTGATGAAATTATTCAGTAGTATGTATCGCGTTGAAAAAAGAAAGCGAATTTGAATTGCCGTTTGGCTGTTGTTTTATACCCACATATGATTTGAGAAAACATGTTAAATTTTCAAACATTATTACGCTGAAGCTGCCGACGATCGATTTTCACTTCCTATCGCTAGGAGTCACACGTAAAAAGGTTAAACCTCGTTAGTCCTCAGCTCGTACAAGTTTCAACTTTTAAGAGTTGTCATTCGTAGAGAAGCGGCAGCTGGTTAACGAAAAAAACAGATTTTTTAACAGATTTGTTCTTATCTCATTGCAAAATTTTAATCATTTTGTGAATATTTAGGTGCCAAATCACCGACGGCGCACTAGGCATTTGGTCGACCTTGAATCAGAGAACTTGCTTCCGTTTTGTGCCTTTTTTTATTCTTCTTTTTTTAGTTCTGATGACAAAAAGCTGATTTATAATCAATTTTAATATTTACTTCCAAACTTTTAAATAAAGTAAATCTACCACGTCATATTTTCTTACTACTATTATCAAAAACGATAGACTTTTTACTGATGAAAAAAATAAATATATAGTTATTTTCAACAAAATGAAAGGAATACTTTGGATCATTTGTTACAACTAAAATCTAGGAAATAACTGAGCGCGGGAATTTTCAAATTGATGTAGCTAAAACGGGGAATTTCATTATGCTGATTCTTCAAAGAATGTATTGTTTGGTGAGTCATAAAAGTTTGAGAAGTCTGTTCATACCCAATTCAAGAAATAACAAAGTTCTTAATTTCAAAGAAATCATTAGCATGAGAACTGATTCTATGCCTTTATTATATCACTCTTTGATGACAATTTTGGACGTCTTGGAAAAACCCGAGGTATGTATATTTTTTTAACTTTTCTTTATATACAGTGGGGAATTCCCCGACTTTTTCCATAAAATTTGCTGAAAACGGATCTTCTTTATTTTCATACTCTTAGACCAATTTGACATCATTTTTGAGACTGAAAGATATATTATCTGATATCAAATTAATTTTTACTTTTTCCAACACCAGTAGGTACTTATAACAAAAAACAATATTTTTACTGATTGCCTAAGCTTCAATGTTAAAACCCAAATTTGTTAGTTTAATAACCCATTCCAATTGATGCTGTTCGAAGATTTCTTGAGAATAAATGTTTCTGACTTTTTACTTTTTAATTTTTTACAAAAATTGTGGGGAACTTTGAATGGAACGAAAAAAGCAATTAATTTCAAAATAAACTTTACAAAGATATGTATATCATACGTAGAAGTTACTTTCAGATTCAAACTGGAAGAAAAAGCCCTCTCGTAACAACTACATTCACATAAACATTGAATTACATGAAAAAAAAAAAATATAGCATTTGGGCTGGAAAATTTGCACTTTATTTTTCGTGTTTTTTTTAGTTTCTGTCATTATTTTTCCTACAATATTTTCAGTTATACACCAGTTTAATTTTTTCAGAACAAGAATACTGATGGAGTCAAAGAACTACTGGACATTTATGAAAAAGTAAAGGATGAGAATTCTAAATATAAAGCTGCAGGTGAAGTTAAAACCCATCCATTGATTGTATTAGAAGGACTAGATGGATCAGGTTGGTCAAGGAAATTAATTGGAATAAAATGTATTCGACTCATATATTTTTCAGGAAAAACCACAGTTGGTAATCGTTTCGCAAAGAAAATTGGAGCTAAGAAATGGAAAACTCCTCCTGAGTCTATATCTCATATTCGACACCTCTTTGATGATAATAATAATCTGCGAACAGCTTACTATTCCTTGGGAAATTACATTGCAGCTTTAGAAGTGGAAATGTTGTTGAAAAATTGTCCGGTTGTGATGGATAGGTATGGAGATGTCAATTATACAAATTGGTTGATCGAAGATGCATAAAACCCAAGTGTTTTCACTGATTCAATATAATTTTTTCAAAGTTAGACACATTCAATCAGATTACTATAGTTGCTGAGTAAAGTATACAGTATAGAATTAGGGGAGGGCATACAAAAATGTGTGCTTTTAAACAAACTACATTTTTAATTTTGTCGTAAGTAAATTATTTTGCTCAAATTGCTTATATTTGTTGGAGATGTATAAATCTTGTAATCTGAATAATTGAATTTTTAGTTCAAATAAAAATCAAAGTAATCTAAGATAAAAAGAGAGGTGTGTTTAAGAAAGATGAATATATAGGATCTTTCATAAAGTGCTTCCTATCTTTGAATTTGAATAAAACAAAATTGTGTGTGAGATATTATTGTGGCACATCCAAAACGTCCAATTTTTCAAGACTCTGAAGCATAAATCAGGCTGAATTTGACCTATGGCATGGGTTACGTTGGCTTTGAGGGCCGCTGTGGTTTGTGGCTTATTCGCATACACCTGCGACTTGAGAAAACCACACAAGAAAAATTCTAATGGGGTCAAATCGAACGATCTCGGTGATCAGTTCACATCACCTCCACGTGATATTACCATGCCCTCAAATCGCTTGTGCAGAATATCCAATGGTGCATGAGCTGTGTGGTACGTAGCTCCGGCCTGTTGAAACTACATGTTGTTAGTGTCCAGATCATCTAATTCAGGCCAAAAGAAGTTGATAATCATCGATCAATAGTGCTTACCGTTGACAGTGATGGCCTGGCCAACTTTGTTCTCAAAGAAATATGGATCGATGACGCCTCCAGTTCAAAATCCACACCAAACAGTGGCTTTTCGGGATGCATTGGACGCCCTTTGATCTCTTATTCAGTGAACACACGTCGTCTATGGTCGTTTATCTTCAGTTCCTGGGTCAGTTGAATTTTGTACGGGTGCAGGCCCAAGTCACGACGCAAAATTCGCCAAGTTATGGTTTGCGAAAAGCCGAGATCTTGTGAGCGACGCGAAATCGACTGCTTTGGAATCTCCTGCACATTCTCACAGACAGCGGCGAACTACCAGAGTCAACATAAATACAACCTATATACTATAAATCACCAGTCATCGGGGAATCATCAAGGTGAATAAACCTCTGAAGAAGCCAGACACTCGTGCTGCCGAAACATTGGGTTGCAGTTCCAAACTACGACAGCTTTCAAACCCAAATGAAAATAGTAAAACTGAAAATCTTGGTTGCAAAAGCCTTAACCAATTTATTGTAAGGGTGTTGGTCGATATTTACCGGTTTTGATAAAACAATTGATAAAACAATTTTATTACTTCCACGTATTGTTGAATACTGTATCCGTCCATAGTGATTTGGCAAAACATAATGAATGTATCAAGATAGAGTACTAGAAAGCCAAACACTTTCTTTCCCAGAATGAATATGAATGACAAATTATTTAACAGATGTAGCTTCAACAAGATGGCCGGTATCAATTATCACAGTTCGGAAGCCCCTGTTGGAAGATCCTTTACTAAAAAAAAATATTCTGTATGCGTTTTGAAATACAGTCTCTCCCTGATTTCTTACACTGTAACATTTAGCAAATGCTCAATGGAACTACTCCCCTGATATTGATTTTTGTGCAAGTTTCGTCCCATATGAAACCCTCAGTACTGCTGGATAACCCAGTTATCCAGCAGTACTAAGGCGTAATACTCTGTAACGGGTCTGTTTGTGAATACTTGATAAATTTCATTGAATTTCTCATAATGTACAGAGAGAATAAGTTCATGTGATGTTTCAATGTGTATGCAAAGTCAATAACTTGTTAAGTCTGAATTGGAAGTACAAATTCAATTTTTTATAGATTTAGAATTTTTAAGGAACAGAGGATTGACCTTATCCCTTTACAAGGCATTAACACAACATATCAGATTTTCAGATTTGTTAACAGTTCCATGGTTAACAATTTGGTTCTTGGTACAATAGTTGATATCCCTTTGGTAAGGAACTGCAATCATCTAAACAACTTTGTGTTGTGTTTCACAGCCGACTCAGGAAGATCATAAAAATATATATGATGAATACATACTTCTCAATAGTGGTACCACCCTTAAATACAGTTGAGTTTGCTATTGAATATCTTTTGGAATGTTTGTATCATACTGCTTAGAGCAAATAGCATCTAGAAATTATGCTAGAGATGGCACGTCATTAATGCGTGAATCACACAAGTTTCGACTTCTGACAGTTGTTTTTTGTAAAATGGCAATTGGTTAATGGAAAAACATAATTGCAATGATAAACTCACCACCTATCTAATACATTTCATTTTACAAATGTGAATATACAATTATTTCAATGAATTGATGGATGTAGCTGTAACTTCGTGGTAGGAAATCACTTTTATTTGTAACTAATGTTAATGCAGTTTCGTCCTATAACGACATTTTCAAACTTATACTTTAAACTAACAATGATTGATTACATTAGCCCTTATGTAGGTAATAATAGAGGTACTTGGCTTGATTGACTACCTGAATTTTGTTTACTAGGTACAATGCAAATATGCTAATTTGAAAACCGGTGAGTAAAGTAAATCGATTTGAAGCAAAATTTCCTTATCGTTTAGATTCGGTAACTTGTTATTGCAAGCCAAGGAATAATTTGAAAACATCGAATCATTTTTTCCTAGTCTGAAAGACCTTTCATGTTCAGCATACCATTTTTTGAAATTTCGACCACGTTGTCCCACATAAACACTATTATACTCCAGACACTTGAGCTTATAAACTCCAGATTTCTCCAACTTGTTCACTTTATCTTTGGTATTGAAAAAGAAATCAGATAACCTGGCATGTGGTCTGAATGCCACTTCCGCATTGTTTTTTCTAAAGAAACCCGCAATTATCTCTGTTCTTTTTCCAAAATATGTTTCTGGTTGTTTGACCTGAGGGTATATTAATCTGTAAGTGAATTTACGGCTTTGTTTTCTGACCAACTTATGAATAGTATCTACATTGAAACCATCATTATGACCTATCTGTGTAATTATATCACATTCCCTAGCTAGATTGTTAGCAGCTAGGGAAATTGGAAACTGCATTAACGTTAGTTACAAATAAAAGTGAAAAAAAACATAGAAAGTTTCAATTCTCTTTTCTTCATTACAATTATTTTGATTTTGATTCGTGAAATTAATTGGTCTCTTATTCAAGTGTAGTGTAGTGTAGAACTGTTGAATAGATTTCAAGGAATTTTATGCATCTTGGTTAGCTGTCGAGCATTAACAGAATCCCTCTTGGAATCCTGGATGAATCAGAGGTTTCAAAATAAATTTCATTTCAATACCTGACACTTTACTATTTTTTCTATAAAAATACTAAAAAGTATTAAAATAACTAAACTTTTGAATATTTTTTTTCATTGAACCGAATAGTTCATTTAATAGTAATAATATTCTTATAATTTCATTTTGATGTAGGTTTTGGCATTCTACAGCTGCTTATGCTATAGCTCAATCAATACAGGATAAAGGAGATATGTATGTGCTGCCTGCAAAAGGAGATAAGATTTATTGTTGGCCAGAAGATTTATTCAAGCCTGACATTGTATTATTACTAAATGTCAGTGAAGAGGTTAGGCTACAAAGACAGTCGAGAAGAACCAATGTTACCACTCAAGAAGAACTACTGAACTCATGTTCAGAATTTCGAAAACAGTATGTTTGTTTTTCTCCAGAAATTCAGTATGAGAGTTTACGTATTGAGGCAAAAATATTAATAATTTTAGTGAGTTAGTGGGTATTCATTTGGGCGGTTATAGGTAAAACTCTTTTTTACTTTGCCAAGCTTTTGACACACTTTATATTCTTTTTGAGAATTATCCACAGCTGTCCTCGAGTTGTGAAACTGCATTTAACTCATAATTTCGAGTGGTTTGGTAGGCGTGTCCCAGTATATGTGAGAGAGATGTTAAAAGACAACTTTTCGAATGGCACTTATCCCAATTTCCTAACAATAGTCAAGTACATGAATATATGAATATTGAGTAAATGTAAATATATAATGCTATGTAATGAACATTGATAGCAATTTCGTGTTGATTTCAATAACTTGTTTACACAAAACTACATGCCAATTACTCGATAGAGCCTTGGAAAAATTCGTCCACACTATAATAAGGCCTCACAACAAGGAATTCCTTTATTTTTTTCTGAATTTCTTTTCATTATGTATTCGCCTTAAATTAATGGGAAGGTGAATTGATAACTTCTTGCTATTGAAAATAATAGAATTTTGTGTAAGGGCTAGAGTAGGTGTTGAAAGGGAAATGAAGTAAAACTGATGTGTACTATGAGTTGAGGTGGTATTGAATTGGTACATTTGATTCCACCAAGAACGGTACAAATCTGAAATTAGCGATGGACTGTGCTGCTCATTGTTTTGAGGTCCAACTCAGTACACCTCGAACTTCACTGTTTAGGAACTCTTTCATTTGGACAACTGTGTTTATGTGGAATACAATTCCTGAGAATGTTTTCCAAATGAATTCGATCTCCAGCGATTCAAATCCAACGTGAATCGCTACTTTCGCACAGGCACCGCTCTTAGGGCGTGTTAAGGATTTTCCTGTAGTGCTTGTGTTTTGTACTTAAAAAGCTACACTTGCTTGGTGTTGTTGATATATAGTACATCTCATTGTAGAGTAACCACTTCCCTTTTGCATGACGGAAAGGTTTCTTTTGGTCACAGTGATAAAAGTATTTCGAGTTTCATAGATGACTTCTGAATGTAAAATATATACACAGTTCTACATGAATTTATTATTATGTAAAGGAGATATCCAGAGGAAAGAAATGGATATTTCTTCAAGTTTATATGAGGCCTGTTCAAAAAATAAGGTGAATGTTCAAATTCCGGGGCTATGTACATTCGATTAGATATTTTATTATGTTGGTACACACGTCTCGAACATATGTTCACAGTTTCAGCTGTTTAGCATGTTTAGTTTGTCGGTGAGAGGCATTAAAGTTGGAAGTGTTTTGCGTGTTCGGCGATTTTCTGCTGTCGAAAAAAAAAAGGATCAAAGAATCTGTAAATATTGTGTAAAAAAATGGAATTGAGTGCTTAAAAACACTTGAAATGTTGACAGTGCGGTGATTGTACTCTGAGTCAGAAAAATGTTAACATGTGGTACAAGGATATGTGGATCAAAACTATTGGTTGACAAAACTGCAAATAGATGAAACAGTTATATTTGTTGAATAAAAAAGGCATAATAAATTAATTATTTCTAAATGCCAATTGAATAACACCTGATAATGAAAAAGTTGTGTTTATCATGTTGGGGAACCTCAAAGCTATCATGTTTACATTTCAGTAATTTCTCATTCAACTCATGTTTTATAATTTGGGTGGTTGAGTAACAAACTGATAATGTTTTTATTCTGAAACGAATAGTGAAAACATCTAAAAGACAAATAATTCTATTCAAATGTGAAGCATATTTTATTAACCCTAGAAAATAAATTGATTTAGAAGTCACTACATGGTATCCACTACGTGGATTATCATGAAAAATGAGAATTGAAACTTTCTATGTTTTTATGCCACTTGTAGGACGAAACTGCAGTGACATGATTTGCAAATAAGAGTGGTATAAAAACATGGAAAGTTTTAATTCTCATTTTCATTAAAAAATAATATAAATTTCAGTAATTCCCAAGATCATTTTCAAAACGACAAAAAAATACACAATAATGAATCATTTCATGTAACTTTTAGTTCTTTACAGACTGTATAATATAAACTGCAAATTATAAGGTCTTTTGTATATAACTCTGACCTATTTGAGTCCAGACTACTGGCAAAGTTAATCAGTGTTCTGAGGGATAGTTTCTTGATGTCAGAGGCTTTAGTGATATTTTTCAAAAAATTTTTTAGTGATATTTTTCAAACTATACATTGGCTGATCTAATGTGTGATTGATGACTTGTGTAATTTGTGGTAATTCATGATCACTTTAATCAAGTATAAAACTCAAATCTGAAACCGATCGTATAAATAAAATTAACCAGTGATAATTAGACAAAAGTGTTTTTATTCATTTCATTAAAGTTATACATTGGCCTTTGCAAAACAGGTGTTTTGCAATTAGCTCAGTGGGACTATAGAAAATTGATATAATTTTAATATTTCAAAGGCTTTAACGTCTTGGTTTCCGCAAACCAAGATCAATAGAGAGACAGGAATACCTCGTTTAATGTCACTCATCTTTGGAATAATTCAATAGAAATACCTCATTTCATGTCACCCATCTTTGGAATAATTCAACTCTATAACCCGATCTTTCATGAAAAATGGTATTTTTATGACTTTCCAGCGTTCTTAAAGAATTTTTACAAGTTTCCTTTAATGTTTTTTTCTCAGAAACTTTAACCATAAATACTTGTGTACATTAATTGCACTTTAACAATATATTGTTAAAAAAACAGTTTAAATTTTTGCTGATTACATATTGTAACCCATAATAAGACCCATAACCTCTCTGTTAAGGGAAAAAATAGTTGAAAAATATCATAGTTCCATCTATGTCTAGTAAATAATTGCATTAAAATATTTTCTCCAAATGCTTCTACAGCTTGATTGACACTTTTATATTTGAGCAAAACAATTTTTGTGTTGGCAGTTAATCACTTATAGACCGGAGCTTAGTTCATTTAAAAGTGAAGTATAGCAAGCGCCAAATATGATGGAGAGTGATCGCGCAGTTATAGACTCTCCCAACTAAATTACTATTGCATTAAGATAAGCCCCTTGCCGCCCAGTGTCATATCTATAATTAGTTTTAATTAGGGTAGCAAATGGAACACGACTTCTTCGTAATTTCTTTTCATATTTTGTTCAGAGTATTATAGGTAGTAGTACTGTTCATTCAAATGTTATATAATGATACACTCTTGATGACTGGTTTTTTGTTAGGCGATGATATTTTTTCAGAAACAACACAAATTACTCAGACAATGCCAAACGCCAACAGCATTGTAGAACAAGTAATGATACGCCTCTGTACAGAGCATTTGTATGTCTTACAAGAGCTGTAGTGTGGGTTATATTGAAAATGATTTTGTGTGCATGGGGGCGGGTTCGCCATCACATTTGGCGCTTGCTGTAACTTTTCACCGTTACTTTCTTACCTCCAGACAATCAAAATGTTTCTAGTCTATGAACACAACCAATAAGTTACGACTGGTGTTATTGAAGGCTCGCAGTTCGGACGATTCTAGAACGGTTCAAAATAGTTTCACAGCTGACTATTGAAAGAGGATGCTCACAAAACCTTTGAAGTCCCAAGGACCGTTCAGATTGCGAATATGAATACATCTCCAGATTCACTGTTTTGTAGGATAATGTGTTGTTTTTGATGAGTGTTTAGATTATCACCTGCCAGTTTTTACTTTTTCGTATTTAATGGAAGATGGAATTGCGTTACTCTACCTTACTTTTATAAGAACTAGACTTAAACATTTTAATCCATCAGAACTTTCATATCGACAATAATTTTTTTTTTATTTATTATGAATTATTTTCTCTTCATGAAGTACATACTGTTTATTTAGAATGTTTGTTTCATCTATTTTTAGAGTCATTGAAGCATACCAGAATATGTACAACCCCGGTGTGATACTCATCAACGGTGATCTATCATTTGGAGCAGTTCTTGGACAACTTCAAAAAGAAACTAGCAGTCTGTTGAAAAAGTAGTTTATGGTTCAGTCGTGTGTCCTAGCCAGATTTAAATATCTAGCTTTCAAAAAGCCCATTACTTATTCTGTACTTGATTCAGTTGTTTCATTCTTTCAAAAATAAATGGTTCAATATGATTCTTCATTTCTCTTGTAAACTCATCGAAGATGAAGATTACTGTCTCCTGAAAAAGTTATTTTTCTATGAAATTCGCCGAATAGATTATATGCATTATATCATATGAATTTATGAAAACTCACCCGGGCGAATTTTTGGAGTATTCGGATTTGGGCATATGGCCATATGCCCAAATCCGAATACTTTTTTGCAAGTTTACACATATGTTTGTCATCCAGTAGTTCTCTAGTGCAATGAAACGTCATAATAGAATAAGTAACCACAGTCTTCGAAAACATCTGGAATTTTTTCTCTTATTGCATTCCACGTGAAGCGGGCAGGTAAAAAGATTTGATGTTTTCGATTTCAGTAATTTTTGAATATGTTATAGGTATATGTAGTCTCGACCTAGACATACAATATTTTTTAAACTTAATTTATATTTAATAAGTTATAGGACATTGAAGTTTTGATTAACTTATAGGTATGTATTGTTTCAAACGCAAGTACTAGTTAAGAAAAGTTAATAATCAAATAAACTAATAAATGAAATCTGTAGTCAACTAAATGATCTTCTCAATAGCATTTTTGAAATAAAAAAAATCAAATTGATTTTTTTCCAAGTGGGGCTCTATTTTTAATTTTTTTTTTCACAAATAGGTCTTAGTATACAGATAATCCATACCAAGTTTCATAATGGGCCCTAAAGTAGTTTAGGAGCTAGAGCAGTTACAATGTCGAAAGGCGGCGGCTACCGCGCTGAAAGTGACTCGCCCAGGCCCCTCTTTTATGCTTGCTAGCAATTTTTGTTTCAAATTTGTGGATAGTATTAGTGTCGAAATTGAAATCATGTGATACCAGCGATGTTTCCGTTTTTTCAAATTTTGGTTTTGTTCTGTAATAATATATTGCATGGTATCAAGAGAGTAAAGCTCTGTTTTTAAACTGGCCATTATTTTTGTCAGAGCCTTAGCAACAAGCAGGAATTTATATGTGAGTAAATGGTGCGGAAAACGTCTTACTACTGAAATGCCACTATTGACAGTAACTGATGTAGCTCACAGTAACCGAATCATCAATCCAATTGTCACAGCAATCGCAAACTTCATGTTTTTGTTGCGAAAGAAAATACGAAATCGACACAGACAGACGACATAAAATTCAATGACATGTAAAAGAAACGTTTAATGACCCCACTACATCTGTTTCCGTAAAAACTATGATCCTTACTTTGCCACCTGAATCATGAAGCAAAAATAGGCTTGCTGAAGAGTTCAATACATCTCGAAGACAATAAAAAAAAGCAAAGAAGCTGGTTGATTTGGTTGGTGTTTTATCATCACCTAATCCATGGGCGGAACAACAGTTGACATCGGAAGTAATAAACTTAGTAAAGTCATTTTATCTCGAAGAAGGCAATTCTCGGATAATGACTGGTAAAAAGACTGTGCCTGTCAAACTGGACGACGAACTAAAGGTTCATTTTCAAAAGCAGCTCTTAATGTAAAACGTTGATGAATTGTATCAATAATTTAAAATAGAGTAGGCACCCTACTGCAGATGCCCGTCTTTCAAAATTTTTCGCATTCCTACCTAAACGGTGCATTTTTTCTGATGACTCCGGTACAATGTAGTTTGTGTGTGTATTTATCACCAAAATATTAAATTGATGCTAAGTGGGGGAGACATTTCTGCTCTTACTAATGAGACGGCGATTCCTCTCACATTTATAAAGATTGCCTTCAAAAGATGATGTGTACAAATCCGACACCAGCTTGCCATTCAATGGCCCAAAAAACACAATTGAGCGTGAACGCTATACCGGATGTTCCGGCCTTCAAGAAATTCGGGAGCACTTTCGACGACAATCAAATAACTAGTGTGCAGTTTAATACATCGTTTGGTATAGACCGTTTTACCATTGCTCACAAGTTCTTCCATCTGATGAATAAGTTGACAGCCTTAGAAGTTTTATAAAGCCACATGCATACATAGCTGATCAACAGGCTAAGTATTTCTAATTATTAAAAAAATCGATGGAAGGAGACGTTACAGTACAATGTGATTTAGCAGAAAATTATAGCTTTATAGTTCAAGATGTCGCACAAACATTCCACTGGAATAACGACCAAGCCGCCCTCTTGACATCAGTATATTATTACAAAAAAGAACAGATTTTATTTCACGGATATCTGATATCAGACGATTTAAAACATGACAGTGCTACTTTGTACACATTCCAAAAAGTTGTACACCAACAAATCTATATATCAACATAGCTACAAATAAAAATGTTTTTTGATACTGACGGGGCTTCACAACCTTTTAAAAACAGATTCTATTTCATTAATCTTTTCAATTTCAAACAATATTTTGGTGCAGATGCAGTTGAAGTCTGCGGCACAGTATATATACTGCGGTTATACGAATGAGCCGAAACATCAATGCCGTAACCAAATGTCTATCGTGCTCGAAAAGAAGATATTGAAGAAAATAGATGTGTCTTAAATAGTATGATAAAACACACCAATAACAGTGAACTTTGTAAGTAAACTCATTGTAAAATCATGTATTCTTACATAACAGACAAATAAGTCAAACAGTAACTTGAAATAAACATTTCGTTTGTCGTCAGACAGCGAGCGTCAAAGACGGGCCTGGGCGCGCCGCTTCTCAGCGCGCAAAAAAAAGGCTCAACTTACTGTTGGTGAAGATGGCTGTGTCAAAAAGAATGTTACATTTAAATAGTTGAAACATGTCAATAAAATGAAACAAGTTACCAGATTAAAAGAAAGTTTTGACTCCTCACTGATACAAGGAGAATCATTTAAATTTTCATAATTAAATCGTTATGGTTTTAAATTATAATTTACTGGTAAAAGCCATATGGCTGCAGACCACAGAGAGAGATAAAAAACAATTGACAATGACAGCTGTCCTGTGATTTAATTTGAAAGATCGTTCGTTTGTAAGTTTATGTTTCACTGTGGAACAAAAGAGAACAGTTATGGTGCAAGTGTGATCAGAGTCAACTGCTGTTTTATGAGATTATTAATGAGAGAATCCAATGTCAAAAACATGACATATACATACATACATACCATATAGTCTTTTTCAACTAAAATTACTTTTTCAATCCTTTTCTGCCAGTCTTCTTCGGTAATATTAGATACTTCTTCTTTAACTAGCTCGTATTACCTTATGAAATTTTGAAAAATTATTTTTACGCCTGATGCTTTGTTTCAATTTTCCCCAAATCAACTCGATGAGATTGAAAACACAAAAATAGGGGGAAGTCTCAATATGGTTGGTGTGTTCATACTTTTCAGCAATACTCTCAAGGGCATACACTTTTCAAATGTTTTTGTCTTCAAGTAGTTGGTTTTTGATATAGTTATCTTCAAAATACAAATTGTTATCCATTAAAAAACTTAGTACCTATGCCATCTTTCCTCTAATTTTTATTCGGTACTTTGATGAGCTGTCACGAATGATAGGGAGCGTTGTCAAGAATTATTACACTATTCGCATCAAAATTTTGGATCAATGTGTTTTCAAACCCATCGGAACCACGGAACCTACATTTCACTTCCTCCGCAATGCACAATGATTATTGAAACATATTATCTGTGTTTTATTATTCAAATTCATTCGAATCTTATTCACTGGTATCTCTTTTTCGCATTGTTCACCATCGCTATTGGTATCACTACACAGGAAAAAGTCTGCGTTGTTATCACACTCATTATTACGCCACATTTTAAACAGATAACAACAATTTAAAGTAATTATAACTGCACCAATATCAAATTTCAACAAATCGCGATCAGTTCCTGAACTGAACATTGACGCCACAACGGCGATACTCATCCCCACATTCTATGTCTTTATCATAGAACGCACCTATTTATTAGTAAAACTAAATCAAGATAAACATGTATACATGAATTCTATAAGGCTTTAAGAAAAATAATACTCGGCTTGTTCAAACACAGCAAGTGTTTTCCTTCTGCGCGCGCACTAGGCACAAAAATAAAGAAACATATACTTGGTGGTACTTATCACTATGTCCTTAAGCGAATCCAATCGGTACGTTTCACGAGATAGGGTAAGGTTCCTGAACTGATCAGTTCCCGTATCAGCTGTCCTATGTTGAATCGAAGATAAATAGAACTCGTTCTTCCTAGTTCCAAAAAATAGTTTCTAACCCTGTTATTAGCTCGAAGACTACCACAAACTCCTATTCTTCGGAAAAATTGGAAATACAAGTCGAAACGGTATCATGAAACGCCTAAAAAGCCATTGAAAGTGTTACGGTCTGATCGAGACAAAACGTGGTATAAAACTCACCTCATGTGCAAAAACCCGACGCAACCCTGAGACGTTGAATACTAATATACCATAGACTTATCCTCTATTATTAAAAATAATCCGGCGATACCAAAAAAAAATACTATACCCCAAAATGAAATTCGCCGATGTGGAATGAAAATAGTAGAGAATCCGTTAATAACGTTATGTAATAGGCACTATTCATCCAATCTTTCCAAAATCTACCCTGTCACTATTTCGTCGACCGAAACATACGATACGGTTTTTTCCGTAGCTGCTTTTTCCCATAAGATTCGCAGACCCAGGCCACAATTGAAATCGTTCATTTTAACCGAAGAAAGAAATAAATGAATTGGCATATGTGAGGATATTTAATATACCTATAGAGTGTTCTTTCGCGGCGCTATCCTAGTATTTTAAAACCTTTTAGAATTGTATTACGTTACACGATAGCTTTAAGTATTCACAATAAAGGGTACTTCGACTATAACTGCTCCAACTCCTAAACTACTTTCGGATCCAATATGAAACTTAGTATGGAATATCTGTATACTAAGATTTTTTTTGTGAGAAAAAAAAATAAAAAGGGCCCAAATAGAAAATTTGCCGTTTTTTCTATCTATATTTAGTTATTTATTCTAAGTATTTGTTACGCAATTCCACTATTCTTCTGGTTTCCATAACTGCTTGACGTTTGTTTATTATTTTAAATCTAAATCCTAGTTTTCTATCCAATTCTAAAGAGTTTTGTCACAGCAGCTCACGTTATGGTCGGAAGTACTCAAACTTATGTACCACATTGCGAAGAGTCCTCACGATTGGACAAATATGGCGACTGTAAAATAGGCGAAGCGCACGGTACGTTGCTCGTACAATTTCATTATTTGCATGTGTTGTTGAATGCTATATCCGCTCATGGTGTTTTGGCAAAACAGACTGAACGCATGACTAATTTGACATAAGTAGCTTCAACAAGATGGCCGCTATCGATTGTCAAAGTTCGGAATCCATGTTGGAAGACTATAATATATGTACCATTTCCAGTTCTTTACCAGGCATGATTCTAAAAAGCTGTGAAGTTTATCACTGTCATGTTATTCATTGCTTCCTGTGATGTTTGTTTGAAGGTGGTTGACAATGTTTCGTGGTGTATTTCATCAGTTCGGACTTCCATTGTCTAATATAATATAAATTGATTTGAAATCTCTTAAAAAAAAGATTAACCGAAAATAACAATTTTATTAAAATAAAACACTGAAATTACAAGGAAATAGCATACAAGCTACAACCAGAAAATAAAAAATTGAAATATTAATAAAAGCTGAAAATTAAAAAATATTATCAAAAATGAGAAATAAAAATAAAAATTAAAAGATTCCAAACCAAGTAACGTCACGACGTTTCGATTGTCCACAAAACCATTCTGGAATATTTCGAACGCAAATGATATTTCTTCCAATGAAATTAATATTTATTTTATATCTGTGACCGACAACGAACCCTTGCAGGTTCTTTGAACTCTATGAGTTCACTTGCGTGAGTTCATAATTATTTAATATCAGGAATCCAACTTCAGTTCTCCAATATACTGTATAAAAATTAATGTGAAATAATGATGTTTTGAACCTCGAGTTTAAACGAAATTGGCGGCCTTCATAGAATATATAACTCTTTTAATCAATCTCTGTTTGATTAATGCTGTATGATCTTAAAATTCGAAATTAGGGAGTAGTCCGGTCAAATTAGACTAAAAAATAAGAGTGAAGGTACATAAATTTACAACAAACTGCAAATGCGTGTAATTGTTCAAAACATAGTTAAAAATATGATTTTAAAATTTGAAATGATTGCGATGCCTGAAAAAAAATTTATTCGAGGTCAAAGGTCAAAAATCTCAAAAAAAATTGTTTTTCGCAATTTTCAGGAAAACGGTAAGTTTTATCATGAAATAACTTCTGATAAAAATTGTAGATCATAAAATTTTTTACAAAAAATGTATCAATACTTTTTTTTCTCAGAGCCACCGTTTCTGAGACACGACGGGTCAAAAAGTTGTAAAAGTTGTAATACTTACGTGGCATACTTATATGCATAAGTATGCCACGTATATACATATCTGAAGTTGTAAGTTGTAAGTACCTGTTGACCTTGTATTATTGCGCATGAGTATTACTGCAGCATTTCAAGATTAAATTAAGAAATATTTTGAATATGAATTGGCTCCCTACCCTTTATCGTTGTTTGATGACCTCGGGATGCGTAAAACACAGAAGTCTGCCATTTTCGATTGTTTCCAACAGGTCAATATTGAAATTAACAATACTAATATGACATACATCATTGACGGTGGATACTTACTACATTGTGTTGTGTGAGATAGTGAAGAAACATTTAGCATTATTTTAGATAAATACGTTCAGTATGTACGTAGACATTTTGGTGCCAGAACTACGGTCGTATTTGATGGCTATGCTGATTGCACGAGAAATATTAAAGCTGCAGAACAACGTCGTCGAACTTTACAACATCTTCATCTTCCGATATTGCATTTGATGAACTTATGACAGTTCCTACTAGTCAACAGAAATTTCTTGCAAATACAACAAATCTCGGTTCATTTCAATGTTGAAGGATAAGTTTATTGGCGAAAATATATTGGTTAAACAGGCTAATAACGATGCCGACGTACTGATTATTGAAAATTCGTAAAAAACACTAAAAATAAGAAACAGGTGCAATTAGCTTGTCTTCCTCCAACCTCAGTTGCTGCTCATCAACATCTTTTCCGGGTATATTAGCAAGTTCAAGTGTGGCTCGGTTATCAGCTAGACCCAAAAGACTGGGGTTGGAAGTTGGTCGACAATGCATAAGAATCTACTCCCACCTGCGCCGGAAAAACTGATGAACACAATTTTTTGCAACTGTAAAAAGGGATACAGCGCTAAATGTGGTTGTAAAAAAAGTTGGACTGTTGTGTTCTATGGCATGTACACATTGTCAAGGCCAGTCATGTTCTAATGCTGTATCACCAATAGTGGAGGATTCATTTGATACCAACGAGGAAACATGCGATACATCACTCTTGACGCAGTTTACGTACACCCAGGATGAACATCAAGAAGAAGTATTTGATGGTTATGACTCAGATTTATTTTTTTTTAATTTCAATCGCTTTTATAATTTCCAACCCTTCCTAATATATTTTATTATGCAACTTTTCAATTTGACAGAATCACAACAGACATGTGGAATAGGCCTACTGGGGAAACTACGTTAAAAAAAACGCGCTAAGTAAACTACCTCATAGGTGGCGTGGAAACGTGTGCATATAATGACGATTACAACTTTTACAACTTTTTGACTCATCGTATCTCAGAAACGGTGGCTCTAAGAAAAAAAAGTATTGATACATTTTCTGTAGAGAATTTTATGATCTAAAATTTTTATCTGAGGTTATTTTATGATAAAACTTACCGTTTTCCTGAAAATCGTGAAAAACCAATTTTTTTCGAGATTTTTGACCTTTGACCTCAAAAAAATTGTTTTCCAGGCATCGCAATCATTCAGAATTTCAAAATCTTATTTTCAACTATTTTGAACAATTACACGCGTTTGCAGCTTGTTGTAAATGTATGTACCTTCCAATGTCTAGATTGACCGGATTAGAGGGAATTATTACACTTTCACAATAGTCAGGAAAAAGAAATTCAAAAAGAATTGTTTGGATAGAGTCTTGTAGTTCGAAGAGGAGATATCGATGGTTCATCTGTTCATCTTTTCGAGCGATATGTTTCCATCCGGAACTGGCAACGCCGGTGCTTCTTCAATACCACATGAGTGCCGAAGGTGAACATGCTGACATCAAATGCATAAGGGTCTGGGGTCAGGAACCTCTATATCCAACACCGGCAGCAGTATTTTAAAACTTGGGACTTTCACAGAAACAATATCAGCGTGAATCCACAGACCGTGAACTTGATAAAACTAAAATATGTTCTCTGAACGTGGACTTTATTCAGGAAGAATCTTGTAGGGGTTGAGTATTCCTTTAGGATCGAGCATAATTTTGAGATTTTTCATTGAATCCAAAGTAGTTTTAGGTTTGACCATTTTCAAGTATTTCGCTTTCATGAAACCAATTCCATGTTCTGCACTAATGCTGCCTTTATAAGCTGCAATTCGTTCAAAAATATATGGTTCCACATGCCGCTTCAAGTCTTCAGAGTACTCTTCGAGTTGAATTTGTAAATGAACATTTCCATCACCTACAATAAGAAATTATTGAACAACTAGAATAGGGTGTTTATTTCTTCTGGTTTCATTTTATTGAAGAGGGCGATTATCAACATTCAAAATTCTGCAACATATTCGTCGGAAATAAGTTTGTCCTCCAAATACTAGTTGCACGTATAGCGAGTTCATTTATTCGAATACGAAGTAAACAATTTCTAACAGATCACTTTTTGTATTTCTCTTAATTAAATTAAACTTTGATAAAATGTTCTTGAACGAGAAATGCACAACTACAAAAGAAACAGTTTGGTAAATTTTACTCAAATTATGTTTTTTATCCATCATATGAAACACTTCATTTCAACTCGAACTCCATTAGCAACATAACAACGTTAAAATTCCCACTGAAATGCATTCAACAGCAATGAAACTAGTAACATTTCATTTTGTAAGTTGCTTAACTGATAGTAAAATTTCAGACGTTGCCGAGTCGAAAAAAACTCGAAAACTGTCAGTCTTTATTTTCTTTTCAGACAGAACTAATCATTTCTTTTGATGAGACCTGCGTATATTCAATATGCCTAAAGCATTGTCAAAATAGTCCCAACAAATACCAAAAGTAAGTAAGGATAATAGCAATAAAACATATCATCAGTACAAACAAATTTGAAAGTTCGAAGTAGTGCACATGTTGGCAACGCCGTAGCTTGTCATCTTGTGACGCCATTCATTTCTTAAGGTAAACAATCAATAATAGATCAGAATGTTGATTTACATATTTTACGGTGAAATAAGCAACAGCTTCGCAACCTGCAGCGCCAAAATCGATATCGTTAATAAAAAAGTTTTAAGATTTTCAATGCGTTTATCATGAAACTTGATCAGTTTGTTTTCATCTAGGTGTAACAAAGTATAAGTTAATAATTCTCATGTACAAATCATGAAATTATAAAACAACAATAATTAATTGGCGCTCCGGGGCGACTTCATTGATTCCAGTGGCATATTTGCTTTTTCTGCTGCAGGAAAACCCGGAAAAACCTGCAGCACCACAACATCTGAAGATCTTGATCTGTTAATGTCCTCTCTCTCATAAAACAAAATGTAGGGTGTCTCCAGAGGCTCCAATAATTTCAATACATCGTCAGAACACTTCGTGACACGATTATCGTCAAACTTAAACCAGTCCGTTTCGTCTTTGACCAAGGCGTAATAATGACCAAATTCAACGTCAGAACCACAATGAACAGTGACTGGATGAATATTAATTATAATAGTGGTCTGATATACCCTCTCTCTCATAAGTTATATTATTTTTCGTAAAATATTAAATACCAACGCAAGTGAATCGTTGAAGAAGGTAACCTTTTATTAGCTTTCAGTATCGATCCTACGGTCAAATAAGGCAGAGCCACTTAAAAAATATCGTTAAAAATAACTGCTCCGATATTTTAAGAAATTGAACAAACAAAAGTTTATTTTCTGATAGGTCAAGTGCCACAGACGAAACCAAAACATCGTTAATTTCAACTGCAGGCATATCCCCCCGATAAGGAAATAAATAATAAACCTGTCTGCTACCAGTCAAGTTAGCCAGGGGAGAAAATACTAAAATAGCCATTGAAGCGACACATGAGTATGAGTATTGTAAAAAATTTCAGAGTCATCTTATTGGTAGGATTTTCTAGTAGATTTTGAAGTGCGACCCACTAACTGGATTGTGGCTAAAAAGTTTTGAAAAGACAAAAAAGGCAGTCGCTTACGAACTCATAAGTAGGTCGGTTGGATTTCCTACAAAGTCCTGGGGAAATTCTTGAGTGGCTTGAAACACGAGGTATTTCAAGTCATTGTTTCTATACATATCTATGCGTCCCTTTCACGATCAGTGATCAACAATATGATACATATATCACATCCGAAATCTCTGCTGATGGGAACTCAGGGTTTTTATCCGATGAAAAACAAAGTAATAACTATTCATTAAAAATATTTCAATTGAATGCACAGTCAGTGACTAATAAAATTAACAAATTGGAAGTTCTCGCATCAGAAGAGAAACCGGACATTATTAGTATTGTTGAACACTGGTGTGATATTGAAAGTATTGAGTTCATGTCTATACCTGGTTATGAAATTGTGTCCAAATTTTGTCGCTCAACTCATATACATGGGGGAAAGGCAATTTATGTTAAATCAATGTATCGCGGAGCCTAAATTTTGAGAGATGGTCCGAAGAAATCCATTGTGAATGCAGTGGGATAAAATTAGTTGTAGAGGACAGAAATATTTGTATATAGATAGATCTCCAAACGGTAACTTTGATATATTTTTGTATAAATTATTTTGCATATTAGAGAATAGTGTAGGCTTTACTGATGATATCTTTGTATGTGGTAACTTGAATGTCAATTACCTAGAGAATAACTACTGAAAAGATCCAATTAGATGAACTACTACTCAATTTCAATTTACAAGTGACATCTTTGACACCTACTAGAGTTTTTACCAACCAGTCAGGGAAAACTTCATCTACTAAAGTCGATTACATACTAACAAACGTTGAGAACATGTTTTGCAAATCAAATGTTTATGAAGGTAGTTTCAGTGATCACAAAGTATTCACAGTTACTAATAATATGCCATCAGTGAAATCTAAAATTGTTGAACAATCTTATGTTATGTATAGAGATGTATCGCAGCTTAACTTGAAACAACTCTCCTTGACATTGTCCAAAACCAGTTTTGATGTAATATATAACAAAACTGATATAGATTAGAGCTTTCTGGCCTTCATGCATATTATAAGTGATGCTATCGATAAATGTTGTCCGACCAAAAAACACAAATCGTCCACTAGTAACAAACATAACTGGATAACTCCTGAAGTTAAACAGGCCAGTCTTGATTTAAAAAGTATGCATTGGTTATGTAAAAATATAGGCAACGAAGATTCTCGTGCTGCATATAAAAAAGCGAAGAAAGACTATGAATCATTAATAAAAGCTTCAAAGTTGAATTTTTACGAAAATGTAATTAAGAATTCTAACAATAAAAATAGAACAGTTTGGAACCTAGTCAACAAAGAATCGAATAGAAAAAAAAATCAAAGAGATATTATTCTCAACTATAATAATAAAGTAATTCGAACATTCTCCCAAATATATGGGAATAAAATTATTCAATCGGTTACCAGACAATTTCAAGCAGATGAACACTGTATCATTTGAAAAAGCAGTTAAACATTGCTTCTTTCTAAGGCCTACTATAGTATTGGGGAATTTCTCTCGGACCATCTCGACTGAATGGGTTCATGCGGCTTTGGCATGACATATTCAATTTTTATAACTACAATTGTTTTATTTTTTGGAATTCTGACTTTTATTGTATAAATTTTTATTGTATTATTTTTATTTACGGATCTACAATTTTATCGTTTGATGTGTTTTTATGTGCTTAATACTGACCTATCCTATACGTTTGTCATCGTCTTTAAGGATGAATAAATATTATTATTATTATTATTATTATTATTATTATTATGGATAATGCCTCAATAAACTGCACATCTGGAAACTAATTAATAAGTTGATAGTTATTGATGGTAGGTACTATCACAGTAGGTGTAATAAATAGAACAATACATTATTTTATATGCATGGATTTTTGGAATTTGTATTACAATATTGAAAGAAAGCAACAAGATATGTGTATGCGTTCTTCAGATTCTATATAAGTTCTGCATAAAAGTAACTTCGATGTTAAGATTTTTATGTTTTTTGGATATTTATCTTCCACAGAAAGACACTAATAAAAACTGAATATAATAGAGAATGGGGAATAATTTGTTTTCTTTTTACACCTGCGTAAAGGCCTCTGTTATAATTACGGACTTACCCAAATGCCCGTATCCGAAAACTCGCACACAAGAGTTACCCATATGAGCTCTTATTTCATCAACAATTGTATAATAATTATCAGTTGGTAAAGATATGTCATAGTAGAACACTGCTCCACATGTTTTATAACCATTTGTAATGTTTTCGCGTATAGACCAAATATCCTGAAAATGTAGAGATGGATACAAACTCGTTTTTGGCGTTTTGTAAGCTGGTTGTTTTTAATACGTTAATCAAGGATTTTCAAGTATTGGAGAAATCCATCAAAAAAGAAGTATGTGGAATTGGCCGATTCAGTAAAACTTTATCGTGAGATTTTCAACAATTTATAAAACCGCATCACGTGTTTCAGGCATGTTCAATACTGATTCATTGTATAGTGGAACATATGTTGCGATTTTAGCAAACTGATTAGTAAACATTTTATAATGAGGTTTTACTCAAAAAAGAGGGACTATCGCTTCCTCTGTTTTGTCCTGTAGTCTTGAATATACTTCACCTGAATTTTATTAGTTTCATTGGCTACAGTTCCGTTTAAAACCAATTCCTTTTCCAAAGTCTCTTCGAAAAACATGTTCAATTTTTCTTCGTCATGCTGTTCGTTACTTCCAGATGTTTCGATCATTAGATAAAACGGGTAGTCTCCAATTGGAGATTTCTGATTATTCCGTTCCTTAATAAAATCCATCGTAGGGGTATCCATCACCTCCACTGCAGATAATATCTCGCCCAGTTTATGTTTACTAAGTGTGAATGTTTCCAAAACTTTGTCGAAATTTTGTAAGCCTGAAAATACATGTTTTCTCAAAATTATTTTTCACTTTGGAGCTAAAATAATAATAAATTGTTTTCATATAGGAAGACACATTTTTTTGATTTTGAGTAATATACTTTTTGTTTTTAACGGAATCCAAAATATAACTAATATACGTTTTTTTTTCTGCTGCGAGGATTCTATTCACTACTTATCTCGAAATAAGTTGTCTAGTGTCAGTCAAGAAAGCTTTCAGATTTCGACATTTCAAATTGTACGTTGGGGCATTTTTCAATTTCAATGGTTTCACGAATCATTCTGGCCTCATAAGCTCTTTTGGAAATTGTTCTATATGGGTCAGGTAGAACATGGTATTTCGTATATATCCTGTTCCTCATTGTGTATCGTATATTTTGGTGTTCTTAAAAGAGTGGAGATTTGATTGTTGGCTGTGAATACTGTTCTTACGTTATATGCCTCTTCAGAATTCATGTCACTTTGTCGCTAACTCCATGGATGTAAGGGAGAAAAGCTTTTGGCTGGTCAGTCTGTTCATAGGGTAGTTCTGGGTGTGGGGTTTGGGTTTGCTATCGTTGAATGGATCTTGGGCTTTGGGAGACGGGATAGTCGTTTTGCTGAAGGGCGGCTTTGAGTTTGTATAGTTCTTTGGATCTATTGTGATTGTCAGTGAGTCTTGTAGATCGGTGTATGAGATAATTCAACACGGGATTCAGCTGGACAGGATGATGATTGGACTTAGCATTGAGAAGGCTTGGGATGTGGGGGTTGAGAAAACCGGCCATCGGATACCTACTTCCATGTAGCCCCGCTGGATACGGGAATGACAAAATCACTTGTAGTTCTGTTCTTCCCTAACTGAATGACATCCTAACGATGGCTTAATCCTAAGATGTGTGTATCCGTGCCGAGAGGATGAATGACACTGAGCCTATTAGCTGTCACAACGGAACCTTCGAGATACCAGGCGCCCTCTCGTCGTAGCATCGCCTTGTCACGGTAACGCGGGGCTCTGCCGTGATTGACCTTCTTTCTCTAGCTACTCGTGGGACTTTTATGGACAGAGTAAACTTAAAAATTTTTTCTGACGCCGAGTCAGATGGATGTCGAGATTACGATTTCAACTGAGGAGCGAGAGCTTCTCAACACTCCACCTCCTGATCCAATAACTGAACCTAAAAAAATGGTTTGGTGGTGCAGCCAGGAAACGACTGAGTCGTCTCTTCAAGAGCGGAGTACCTTATGAAACCGCCTTGCACCAAATTCTTGAGCGGCGTACGCAGAATCTCTCTCAGGTGGAGGAACAAACCCCCCATGAACAGGCTAGCAAACGTTGGCGCTCAAGTGATGATTCACCAGAACCAGAGGTAAAAAAAGCCCTGTACGGATGAATCTAAAGGTCGCCGCACATTCCCAGACTCGCACTCGTTCACGACACTGCGCTAATGTCGCTTTGACATTAAGGCTTCGTCAGATGTAGCTGGCGTGCAAAAAACCTCATATGGGAAGGTTGTCGCAGGTATCAAGGTGGGAATCTTTCACCTTGACTATCCGACTGCCTCATTAACGAAGAAACAGCAGAGCATATACTTTGTGCCTGCCCCGCTGGGGACCGAATCAGGTTTTTAGAGTTCGGCAGAGCCGTACTCTTACCATCTGACCTGAAAGACCACTCACCATACAAACTAATCGGCTTCGTTGAGAAGCTGGGTTCATTTGGTCGAGTGTGAATAGGTGTGAGCCACGAAAAACCCTTGTGGTTTACGGTGGAGGGTCGAATGACCCACTCACTTTGGACCTAACCTAACCCAGCATTGAGACAGCGATTGATATGGGTAGATTTTCAGTAGACTTGTTGGACTTCGGGATGAGAACGTCCAGGAATGGGGGTGAGTTATTATTTTTGATTTCCATTGTGAATTCCCATGTTAGCTGTAGAACAACGGAAAACACCAGACTTGGTGTTTAATCTATCAAACTCTCATGTCATAATTGTTATTATCTTACCAAATGGTTAGGTCGGGAGAAAATTGGATCAAATACGGACTGACCTCGAAGAGGAGAAAATGTAGCTTGTGTCATGATCTGATAATTAGCATTAACAAAATTGCCAGTAAATAAAGTATATTACCGGATTATACGATAAAGAAACAATATCTTGGCTAAGGGGGATGAAAAACGCAGTTATCAATTATTCAACTCACCAAAGAATGCAACATTTCTGAATTTTGGTCGTGATGGACATTGCAAAGATACTTTCGTTACCAAACCTAGAGAACCCTCGGATCCAATGAAGAGATTATTCAAATGATATCCACTGTTATCTTTTTTCAGGGCGCTTACACAGTCAACGATAGTACCATTTGCCAGCACCTTAAAATTTGGAAGTTTATTGGTGAGAGGAGTAATTTATCTTATGTGATGGAATTGGCCGACACTTGATGAAAATACATAACTCATTCAAGTAACACTTTATTGCGAGATTTTCACTGGAAAGTTTAAAAATCCCTCAAGGGTTTTCATACAAAATCTCACAATTAGTTTTTACTTGAATAAGTAATTTATCTTGATAATTCTCATACCACTTCCAATCCAAGAATATTCCCGTGCATATTGCCGTATCGAATGAGTCTCATCCCCCCTGCGTTTGTAGATACATTTCCACCGATATGACAAGAACCTTTTGCTCCGATATCCAAAGGTACAATGAGGCCCCTTTCGGATAAATAGTTATCAAGATTTTCCAGAATGCAACCTGCCTGACAAGTCAGAATCCCTGAAAAGAAAAGATGATCATAACAATACCACTTCAGAGACTTTTATACTCACCAGCTTCCTCATCCAGCTCGATAATTTCGTTCATCAACTCAGTAGATATTATTATTTCATCAAAAACTGGTACCGCTGCTCCAACAACATTGGTGTTTCCACCTTGTGGACAAACGGCAAGTTTGTGACCATTACAAAAAGAGAGTATTTTTGATACTTCTTCGGTTGATTTTGGTTTCAATACTATGGCACTATTACCTATAGAAAATCAAAATTCAACGCTATATAGTGTTCGTATAGTTTTACAAAGAGTTAGCTTTATATTTAGTTTTCCAAAAAAGGATTGTGGTTATTTTTGATATGATAGCTTTGAGATTCTTAAAAGATTTCAAGAACTCATTTATTAACAGATTGAAAGATTCTCGTGAAATAAAGTGAACTTGAACTTGAAAACATTGAAAATATAAAAATCACCAACACATTTCAGTTATAATTAAATGTTTTGAAGAATCGAGGTAGTCAATAATATTATTGGGAAAGAAAGGTTTTGGCTTTCTACTACTCCATCTTGATACAAAAAAAAATTAAATAATAGTACTTTCAAAACAACGTCATTTCAGTTGAACACAAAGAAAATATATCATTCGTAGATTGTTTAACAGATCTAAAGAAGGGATTATACGGAATGAATGAACAATATTGACACAGGTTAGAATGAATATTACTGGAGTTTTTTCCAACACCAAATCGTTATTTTTAACACCTCGGCACGTGTTTCGATCACCAAGTGATCATCTTCAAAGAGGAAGATTAAAACTGTGTAGTAATGAATATTACTGGAGTTTTTTCCCAACACAAAATTTTTATTTTTAACACCTCGACACGTGTTTCGCTCACCAAGTGATCATCTTCAAAGAGGAAGATTAAAACTGTAGTAATTAATATTACTGGAGTTTTTCCCAACACAAAATCTTTATTTTTAACACCTCGACACGTGTTTCGATCACCAAGTGATCATTTTCAAAGAGGAAGATTGAAACTGTGTAGTAATGAATATTACTGGAGTTTTTTCCCAACACTAAATCGTTATTTTCAACACCTCGACACGTGTTTCGCTCACCAAGTGATCATATTCAAAGAGGAAGATTAAAACTGTAGTAATGAATATTACTAGAGTTTTTTCCCAACACAAAATCTTTATTTTTAACACCTCGACACGTGTTTCGATCACCAAGTGATCATCTTCAAAGAGGAAGATTAAAACTGTAGTAATGAATATTATTGGAGTTTTTTCCCAACACCAAATCGTTATTTTTAACACCTCGACACGTGTTTCGCTCACCAAGTGATCATCTTCAAAGAGGAAGATTAAAACTGTAGTAATGAATATTACTGGAGTTTTTTCCCAACACAAAATCTTTATTTTTAACACCTCGACACGTGTTTCGATCACCAAGTGATCATTTTCAAAGAGGAAGATTAAAACTGATGTAGTAATGAATATTACTACAATATTACAAATCGTTATTTTTAACACCTCGACACGTGTTTCGATCACCAAATGATCATCTTCAAAGAGGAAGATTAAAACTCCAAAGGCTCCAAACAGTGCATCATAAGTACAGGTTAGAATACCAACTCGTAATGATTAGTTCCAAAAACATTATGATAATTTTTAAATACATTGTTATTAATAGATAATAACATACATATTGAAGGGAATAATATAGGATCTTTCATTAGGTGCTTTCTATCTTTAAATTTGAATAAAACAATGTGTGTTGTGATATAATATCTAAATTTTGAATTCGTTTGGAAGACCTATTGATGCCATTATGTGTGAAATATGTGTGGAAAATGGGGATTGGATATTCTTATGCTGCACCTGGTTGGAATATTCAGAGCCTCCCTAGCTCTGAGGTATATTCCCAGTAAGTGAAGAGAAGTACAAGTAGTATTTATTCCCAAACCAGGTAGGATGGACTACACCTTACCAAAAGCATTCCGTTCTTTTTAAAAACTATTGAGAGGCTATGTGAGCGGTATATAAGAGATGAAGTACTAGTTCACAACCCACTTCATTCAAATCAGCATGCATATACTCCGGGAAGGCCTACTGATTCAACCCTTCACCATGTGGTTGGCAGAGTCGAAATATCATTGACAACAAAGAATCCACCCTGGGTATATTCATAGATATCAAGGGAGCGTTTGATAAAATAACCTTTCCAACAATGGGCTTGTTTCATGATTTTTGGTTTATAGTTCACTTGATAGAAATTTTAAATTGAAAAACAGTGCACTTTATTTCATCTCTCTAAATACCGTAGTTTTCCCGTAATTAATTATTAAAAATCGAATGTGATATGGTGGTGACGTCACGACCCTATTCCCGCTTCTTATTTGATTGACCAATAAAAACAATAGAAATAATCAACATTGCCAAATCGTAAAATTTACGGAGCCTATAATTATCAATTTCATTATGGAAGTGTACGTGAACCCGTTAACGTTTCGATTAATGAAAAATTCTCCACATGTAATAAAATGTACACGATAAATCATGTTTGGAAATAAGTTCTACATCTAAAATCGGTACACAAAGTCGATAGATCACAAAATATTTACCTAAACTATGATTTTATGCAATATTTAATAATAAACAGTTATGAAAATCAAAAAATATAGCAAACTGGATTAAAAAATCATTTCAAATATTCGATTTATTCTACAATCCTCAATCTCTACAACTGCAATTTATTAAAAAAATAAACTTCCTACATACATACCTCTTTCTAATTTAGATACTAAATTGGAGCGTTATAGGCTCGCTTGGGTAATCTGTTGAATCTTCCAAAACTTGAGAGGCAGGCTGAATGAGGTCAAGTATATACAGAATTGATTGTACTCGAACTGTCGTCACTTTTTAAATGATTTCTATGAAGTCTTGGAACAGTAGAATGATTGTAGTAGTTCTTTATTTTCAATGAATTAACGTTTCAATCAATGAAAAATTCTCCACATGGAATAAAATGTACATGAAAAATCATGTTTGGAAATGAGTTCTATATGTAAAATCAGTACACAAAGTCGAAAGATCACAAAATATTCATCTAAAATATGATTTTATGCATTATTGCTATTAAATTCAAACGTAATATGCTCGCTTGGGTAATCTGTTGAATCTTCCAAAACTTGAGAGGAAGGTTGAATGAGGTCAAGTATAGACAGAATTGAACAATGACATAAAAAAATCCAGTCGTAGATAACTGTGAGACCCTATATTAGTGAATATGAAAATATGTAAGTTGCAAATGTATTGATAAATTATGTCATTATCAATAATATAGTTGAGAACAAACCTCTCACTTGCAAATACCAATCCACATTATACTTTTCTAAATCCGACGAATCCATAACAACTCTATTTTCGCCTAATAAACTTTTGAAAAAGTGTATATGGTCATTTTGCAAATAATTGAAATCTCCTCTGGTAACATTAAAAGCATTCTGAAATAAAAAAAAACATGAATGTAGATAATGTTGAAAATTAACTGATGTAACATGAGATGATTTGAAAAATTTCATTATTTTTTGAATTTTGTATAGCGATATGTAGAGTTGAAAATGTTCATCAGTAGAGAGGTATTCATGAAAATATAGAAACCGTTCCAAATCAATTGATTTGAATGTCCATCATGCAGATGGGTTTCACAATATTTTCATCACACACGATCTCTACATTACGTTAGCTTTTTTACTGGTCCTAATACTTTATCTGGCGGGAAAATTGTCATAATATCTAATCTCAAATATTTTGCTCTCAATGCTTCGACTTTCAAGTTCTAAAACAACAATTTGGTTAATCTTTTTAAATTAATAATCATAGGTTTCGTTTCTACTATATGTTTTGGTTGCATGAAACTGCAAAATAAAAACATCTGGAATTTCTTAAAATTCTATATAATGCGGCAGGCACTATTTTCAAATATGCATGCCTCTTAACATTTTTTTGAACTAACTTTCATGATGATATTCGTTTTCATACAGTTTAATTAGAAAATGAGAGAAATTAAATAAAAAAAGGCATAGGTACTTCTTAATCTGAAACTAATCTCTCCTTCCAACAAAACCAAAAATCTGCTATGTTAACATGTTTTTTAACAACATTCTATCACTCACTTTTGTAAAATCTGGTTTTTTGTGAAAAAGCGATTGATTTCCTCTCCCACTTTTACTCAGCAATGACTGCACTCTTGAACTTTTCACGAAACTTGAAAACATTTTGCATTTACTTCAAAATGACTTTTCAGTAGGAAAGTATTATTTTCATATCGTTAGTCTCTCTCAATAATATGTATGTTCTGTGGTTCTTTTCCAATATAACATGTATGTAAACACAATATCTGTAAACATCAACTTTATCTTTCGAAGGTTATGAAGATCACTTGATTTATGAAATATCTCATTTGAAGCGTGTGGAAAAAAAATCTCCTAATAACATACTTACATATTCTTGAATAATATTTTTTAATTGGTCGTAAGCCTGACGTGTTTTGATTCTTCAACAGTAATTATAATAATAATGTTCATTCACAGAAAAACATTTTAAATAAAAAACTACATGAATATGGAAAAAACAGCGGCAACACAGAAGCAATGTGAATATTGCTTGTGTGTGTTGGCTATCCTAAAGCTAAGAGTCGTAAAAATCTACACGAAGCAGTACTATTATATACATTCATTTACGAACATTCACAAGAATATTTGCTGATATGTTGCTCCTTACAGATTTATAATTTTTACAACTTCTTGTGTTAGCTGTAATATACCCCACTTTATTATTTTTATTTATGTATAAACTGTCATATGTCAAAAAAACTAACAGTGAGGTTCTTCATGAACCCAGAGCCAGCCAGAACATCAGATCTCATCCCTTTAGATTTTTTAATATAGGAGTAAGTACCTTGAAAATAAAGGGTACCTATAATTTCCAAACATTGACCATTTGAAATAGTTAATGAGCTGATATACCAAAAGAATTTTAAATAAATTGTGATAATGATTGTTTAATTAAATGATGAAGTGTATGTACAAGATTTACGGAAACAAGAGTACTTTCGGATTATTGATGCAATCCTATCTGACATGTAGAAAACAATTCGTCTCCTATAACGGTTATAAATCTAGAACATATATAGCTTCTTCTGGTGTGCCTCAGGGCAAATTCCAATGTGGATCGTTAACTTCGCACAGGCACCGTTTTTAGGGCGCCTAAAAGATGTTTCTCTAGTGCTTTTGTTTTGTCCTTAAAAAACAATATATCAAGAAGTGCGTTTTGTGTGTCCCATACCACACTATCTCTGTCCTGCGCGTTTGGAAAAGCAATTTCGGGAAATTTATTCTATAAAGCCACCGTTTACCAACTGAAAGAGTCCTTGAAAAGCGATGAGCAGTAGCATTCTGTGGCGTACTACTGAAAAATGTCGCTCTAGGTGGGATCCAAAAAGCGCAGTCAATCGAACAGTTTCCGTGAAGGTGTCTAGAGAAAAGAGATAAATTTCCAACATTTCTTCTATATCCCAAGCAATTGAGGTTGCTTGTGATGTTTAGGTCTTCCTTCAAGAAAACTGAATTTTTTTAAAAAAAATCTAGTGGCCCCAGGGTATGCTTAGAAGAAAAGCTCCATGTATGTAATCAAATTTCCAAACCAATACAGTATTCAGAATTTGTTCCTTGTAGCAGGGGGAGAGCACGGATGGAGAATCCTTCTTCTAAAACTCTTTCTTGTCACCCAAAGTTGAAATATCGTCATATGACAATTTCGGGATTTCTTGAACACATGATGGAGATAACATATCACCATATCACGTATTATCCTGGGGAATACATGGAAAAATCCTGAAAACGCAACGCCGTGATTTTACTTGGCACGTTATCTAATGGAATCTGGATACCCTTCGGAAATATATCCGAGAGAAAGTCTGACATCATTTTCGGGATGAGGTGGGGATTTGTTACTCATAATTTCGGCGCTGGAATGATTGATTTGCAAATGTGTTCGCATGTGAATGGTGCCCTATATTGTGTATTGCTTGGTGGTCGATAAACGCAGCATACAAACTTAGTGATCTTCTTGATATTATTTTGAACAACATAACATCAAAGTTTTGGGAAGTGGAAACCACAGCTGGGATATAGAAAATTGACTGGGTTTGTAAAAACACTGACTTTGGTTTCTGTGAGTGCAAGCAAGAATGTTGGTGCACTGAATTTATATTTGAGTTGAGTCATCTGATGTAGAAATCGATTTTGAAGTCGCTAGTGGGCCTCTTAACACTTGCAGTTACCATGCTATTTCCCTGTGGAATGATGTTAGGAAGACTCTGTCGACTGTCAAAAATAGTGGTTTTTGAATAACTTCCGCAGCCTTTGCCTGAAGATCTAATTGGGGAGCTATTTTACCGGAGTATTTTTCCCTAGGAGCGCCATCATCCATTTTTTCCTCATATTCCCACCCTTGAGATCGGAAACCGCGGCACAGCAACGAAACGTTAGCTACAAAGTCCTTAAATGATTCACAATTACTGATTTTTGGCAGTACTTCTCACTGAGGATCTTGATATTTTGGACCTTTTGTATTCTCTGAAGATATCAATGTCTTTTGAATCTCCAGCTAGTATCTTCTTACAATTATTTTCTTTTTTTCCCTTTGTAAGAAAACCTTCACTTGTTGCTTGTCGATGTTTGAGAAATTCGTAACTGAACTGATTTCCATCCATATTTAACGTTTTACCTATGACTTTTGCTTCTTTCAGTAGATAATCTTCAATAATCAGATCCAGAAATATAAACAGATCACTGCCCTTAGTTCTTTAGCCCTGTTCAAAACTTCTGTTTCTATTCATTATCGAGAAATTCCACGGTGACAGGACAGGACGTCTTCGACCTCAAATTTTTTAATATATATGTTGAGTTTATTCCGGAATATTAACAATTGTGCTGAGTTAATATCAGTTTCACTTTCTTCCAACCCGTATTTTATTGTACTACCTTTCACTTGTTTGCATCCTAACTTGTATCAGAAAATTTGTTTTTTTCAAATAGGTACTCATTTTTTTAGAGATTTACTATTTCTTCAGTTACCCCCGTCTTGAAATCTTTGAACTCTTTTGTTAAAGTATTCATCTGATCCACTGAGAGTATATTTTGACCTGCAATATCAGTAATATAGTTCCTTCATTTTGTCAGTAAATTCAGCACTTCATACATTTTACCAGCATTTGTGCTTCCAAATAGTTTACATTTCTCAGCATTTATTGTCGTTTTAGCACTCTTAATAATATTATCATTTTCAATATGATTCAATAATTCATTAAAAATAACTCGAGTATCGGAAAATTCAATGAGAAATCGATTTCACCCGATCACCCTTCTTACTGAAAATTCCAATATGAAATTTACTTGAACTATTATTGGTAAGACCGCAACAGCCGCAAACTTGGAATAAATTAAAAGCAAAGATCTTCACAATCAGATAGTTAGAGACGAACTGTTTGCCAATCCCAACGAGTCTAGATCCACAATTCCACCACTTACACAAGCCGATGGTTCAGTTGCAAAAAAAACATAGAAAAAGCAAATCTACTAGATGAATAATCTGTGTCCCACTTCACAGTCGATAATCTGGGAAAGGCACTACCCAGTATTTCCACACCAGAATTCACAATCCCGAAAATTACATTTCAATAAGTCTAGTCAGGTGAATTCTGAAACAGCTCAATATCAACATGGCGTCTGGTCCTGACAAAGCGCCAGACATCGTACTGAAAAGTGCGCAAATGAACTCGCATCAGTATTTTTCAGACTCTCCAACCTTCCAAATAACTATAGACGACTCGCTTTGCGATCAGTGATTTGAAAAAACATGGAGAAACCCGTAAACCACCATATCCACCATCAACTCAGGGTCAGTTGGTGAGTCTCATGTTAAGAAACTAAACACTATCAACTCACCCAAAAGTAATCTGATTTCACATGAATATACACTGTCTATCCAATAAAATCGATGAATTACGTGTATTTTTAGATGATTCTAATTATGATATTGTTTGTTTGTCAGAACATTGGCTTACAGAAGAAAAAATAAAAAATGTAAATTCACCTACTCACTTTTTAGCTGCTTACTTCTGCAGTAAAAATATGAAACATGGTGGAGTTGCCATCTATTGTAAAAATTATTTGAATTCAAAAAAATATATTTTTCTTATATTTTTGTATGTTTATGTGATGTGATATTTTGCGATTACTTTTGAAAGTGTAGTAGTGTATTACTGAATAGTTTACTCGATATCTTTTGAGACCAATTGACTTGCTATGAATATGCTTATGTATTTGATATAGTCAAATAAATTGTCGATCTATCTATCTCTGTCTTTCGATTCTTGAGTTTTCGAGACCATTCATAGTCAACGTATTCAAAAAACATTTTATTGTGAGATTTTCACAAACAATTTTACAAAAACGCATCACGTGTTTTGCCATACTATGGTTTTTTCGGGCGTGTCTTTACTAACAATATTCTACATATTCAATGCTTAATATATCTAGTTTTACAATTAGAAGTAGGTACCTGACTTTTACCTAAGTTTGTAATGAATTGAATCATCTGAGCTTATCCCCCAATTTTAACATCTGAAAAATATTTAGTTACGGAGAGTTATTCAATTCCAATTGATCATTCAGTTAATTACCCGAATTCCTGATTCTATTGATTTCTGAATATTTTAGAAGATTGAGTTTCAAACTCTTCTCTTCTAAATGTAACACGTCGTATTCAAGATTGAACTCATGTCCTTCTGCTAAAAGGTGGTTTGCAAATGTGGAATTGGTCTATTCTTTCTAAAGAGCATAGAAGTTATTTTGTAAATAGGAAGACCAATTCCACATTTGCAAACCACCTTTTAGCAGAAGAACATGAGTTCAAAATCATAAAAGCGACGTCTTACAGTTAGAAGAGAAGAGTCTGAAACTCAATCTTCTAGAATGTTTAGAAATCAATAGAATCAGGAATTCGGGTAATTTACTGAATGAACAATTAGAATTGAATTACTCCCCTTTACTAAATATTTTTTCAAATGTGGAAACTGGGACATAAGCTCAGAAATTTTAATTCATCACAAACTTAGGTCAAAACCAGGTACTTGAAATGTAGGTACGTCTAATTGTAAAACTAGATATATTAAGCATTGAATATGTAGAATATTGTTAGTGAAGGTACGCTCGAAGAAGCCATCGAAACACGTGTTGTGTTTTCGTAAAATTTTCAAGTGAAAATCTCACAATATTCGTATAGTTATCTAACA